GAGGCGCTTCTTGAACGTTTTGCCTAAGCCATGTCAATGTCAGCCTTAGCTTCTCGAATGTTCAGCGTGACTATAGACTGTATTTATTTTCGATACTTGAGACCACACCCTGACAGGACCTCCCACCCTGCGTCGGCTGTCGCCTGCGAGTCCGTCGGCCTTGAATGTTTCTGTTTGGTCGAGGGGCCCAACGAGCACTCTGTCGGCCACGCCAAGGAGCTCCTCCGGTCGATCTGCACGCACAGGCGTTTGTCGGAGGCCCAGCGGTCGGTCGTCGGCCGCAAGAGAATCGGCCCCGACAGCATATCGTTCATCACCGGCGTCAGCGTCCCTGAGCTCGAGGATCCGCCACTGCAGCCATAATTGTGAGAGTTCAGTGTCTAGGTTTTTTTTTGGATTTGGGGTTAAGGGGTTTAGGTTTGGAAGTTTCTCAATAGGATTCAGAGTTTTGGAGTCGATAATCGATGGACGCACAGAGAGGAGGCCATGATCTATGCGAAGGACGTGCCGGTGTCAGAGTCGTGGCGGAGCGGCGTCGATGTGGACCAGACCGGCCTGGCAGAGAAGGTCCGCAATCTCGTGCAGTCGCAGTTGATGGAGTACTCCCTCGGCATCGAAGCTTCTGCGTCCGGCCGAGTTGCGGTCGCGAAGAAGTGCAGGGCTTACTTACTTATCGAGGGGCCAATATCAACCAATCAATCAGGCCGTCAGTCAAACCGTAAGTCAATGAATCAACCAGTCATTTAGTCAATGTTACGAGTACTTGTTCGATACTCTGATATTATTTTGTCACATGATTCTGGTAGAGTGCTCGACATGAAGGTCCTTCAGAGATGGAGACACCATTGGCCCAGCGTCAGCCCTCTTCTTCACCAACCTGGACAAGTTGCAGGCTTTCCTCGCTCGAGACGGGCATGGGGCACTGCGAGACTTTGGAAGCAACAGTAGGGACTTTTCTGCTAGATGGCAGGGTGCAAGGAATTTGGAATCAGAGCATAATAGTATAGTCCATCTGTCTGACTGCAGGACAGACGGCTGAATGCTACGACGATTTTTTAATTATTGTTGACCTGAGCTGGCAGTACATAAGGCGACCGAGTGGTCAGACTGGAAAACTTCGATCACGGCGTCGACTTGAAGATCACCTTCTACGCAGTCCTGGTCGGCTGGGCGCAGTACCTCACGCCCTTCAGCGACGCCCAGCGTGACTCGGCTCTGGTTTGAAACAGGTTCGTGCCATAACTCTCCAGGTACCGGGTTACGGCTGGAGTGCGACCATGTGACAAGTCTCCACTTTTCACTGAAGTTTTTTCCCCTGCTGCTTCCTATTATTTAATATAACTGTGCTGCTTGCCGCCTAGGCAAGTCGCCGAACTGCCGTCTGGATGTCTGCCCGGAATCGGGGCTGCAGATGCTTTAGTCATGTTTTGAATATACCATGTTTCAGATTTCTACTGCTTGCAGACGTGACCTGTGTCCTTCACCTAGGACAACGGATTTACGGACGGCCTGTTGTCGGTGAAGGTGCGGACGCGCAATGGGGCTGGCATTGCGTCTGGGTCGCCCCTTTGCATCAGTTTCGGCGCCTTGCCGCCAGCGTCGTCGTCAGCCAACCAGTCGTCGATCCACGAGTCGACCCCGGTGAAGAAGTTCAGAGGGACTCTGGAAAACTATTTCCAGGAGAGTCCTACGGCGTCCCCAGGCACGGCGACTGTGACAGCGCAGGACTGGTAGTATTGCATTGACCTACGCAGCATGCCTGTGCCAAGCCTTATTACAATATTGACGCCGAAAGACTGTAAATTTAAATTGTGCAAACCTGCTTTTGCAGGATCCTGAAGCGCCTGCCGTCGACACTGGCAAGCCACAGCCGGCCCCTCCAGTGCCAGCGTCGGCGCCGGAGGCCCCGAAGCCGGAGGCCCCGAAGCCGGAGGCCGAGGTGCCAGCTAAGCCGACCCCGGCGCCGTTTCCGACGCCAGCAGTGCCACCAGGGTCAGTCGTCCTCCAGAACACGATTCGCGTGAACGACAACAGCTACCAGGTCAGCTTCCTGCGGTCGGACGGCAAGATCAAGGTCAGCATCATCTGCGACGTCCAGACCAACAAGAAGCTCCCGCCGCATTGCATGCTCTCCGTCGTCAGAGAAGGAAAGATCATGAAGATGACGGACCCAGTGTTGGCGCATGCGGTCCCTTACAAGGTCGCCCGCCAGACGTTGGTTTTCAACAAGGACGACATCAGCGTCAGCTCGTCGTCGCCAGCGGCTATCGCTGTCAGTGCCTTGATGGAGAAGACGAAGGCGAAGACAGTGGCGGAGCACAACGAGCAGTACAAGCCGGCGTCGAACAAAGTGTTCGTGGCCAACGATGCTCGTGTGCAGGAGGCGTGGCACACACACACAAACACAAACAAACAAACAAACAAACAGAAAGACAACAAAAACATGCTTGTTATTAAACAGTCGACCAAACAATCACAAGCAATCAACGATCACGGCGACAATGCAACAACGACAATAACCACAACAACTCCAACCACCACCACCACCACCACCACCACCACCACCACCACCACCACCACCACCACCACCACCACCACCACCACCACCACCACCACCGCAACAACAATAACATCAACAACAACAACAACAACAACAACCATGACATCAGTCACAAGAGCAGCATCATCAACCACAACAACAGCCACGACAACTTATTTACTGTTTGTCTGTCAGGTGTTGGCCATGGCAACGGCGAACGACCGCCTCGCGCTGCGCTGGGTCTTCAAGAAACCAGGGTCGGAGGGCGGCGAGCTGACGCCTTACGGCATCGCTATCGCCCTGGCGAAGCAGCTGATCCTCAAAGACGGCTCCGCTGAGATTGTGTGATGACTGTGTCTGTGTCTGTGTCATCTGAAGCATGCGGCACCGCGGGTTCAAGCTCAAGTTGATAAAATATTGTCGTCAATCGTTGGTTTGAACTTATCCGTATTTTTGCAGCCGTCAACAACAACTGTCAGTCACAGCTGTCGCATGGCCGGATTCAGTCAATCACGAGAAAGTGGCAGGCCGCAAGGCCTGATTTTAAAGCCACCTAGCGGGATCTTTGGTCACACTGCGTTAAGGAACGATGTGTATGCACAACCGGTAAAGCAGTTGTGATTCTAACTAGGTGTTAGTTGTCATAATACTATCTCTGTGTGTTGTCTGCTGTTGCAGCGTCGACCATTGCAAATCGTAGTCTTACGGCGATTTTGACAGACGTTGTGTCTGTGTCAGCGCCACCATTCTCCTAGTCAGTTGTCAGTGACTGACTGTGGTCGACACATGCAATTTGTCAGGTGTCTGTCATTCTAATTCTATCGCCAGCGGAGCCGAGGGCCTGAGCTCAACAGACTGTGTCGACACATCATCATTCTGATTCTGGTGGGTTTTTAATCCACGAGCCTTTAAAGGACACGGTTTTTTCCCACCGGACAGCCTAGCTGCTGAGACCACCGTCAGCTCACCTGCCGAGCAGAAATAAGACAGCAGCTCAGGCCCAGCCATGTCTATTATCACAACCATAATATCATCCATATTTTGGTGCCTGCCTGTCTGTTTGCAGGTCGTGCCAGAGACGATGCGCTGGTGGCCTCGCTTCTGCAATGTAAGGCTTTGCAGATTCAGATTAGATTGCTCTCATTGGCATTTGTGCCCAGGCCATATGACATGGCGAGCAGCTCCACCGGCGGTCAGTGTCAGTTTGTCGTCGGGGTCGGTTAGCAGCGCATCAGCTATTTTTCATGGTTTACACTCATACGATTTTCTGGGCTCCCAGTGCAACACACACCAAAAACGTTTTGGTCAGCATCATGAGCAGATGTTCAGCATCATGAGCAGGTTCCGTCGCACCAAAAAAACCTTTTGGTCAGCATCATGAGAGCCAGAATTCGCATTGAACATCAGCTATACAGCAGTTCTTTATCAGCTTTCCAGCAACAGAGTTAAGAAGTTTTCGGCCAAGTCGTAACGCAACAGTCTGTGTTAGGTTTTGCTACGTCGTCGAGAAAGACCAGGGAGGTTGGCGGGACCCCTGGCAGCATTTCATGCGCCTCCGTAGCTTGAGCCCAAGTCTATCTTTTGCTTTCAATTGGAAGGGCGTCCCCGTAGCAAAATGGGTCTAGTCTAGGACCCTAGGCCCTAGGGTTTGTGCTCAGTACCCATTTTGCACATCTGGACGTACCTGAAGCTCTGCGATTTTCAGGAGTTGCGTTCGGCGTCGACCTTCAGCACGGATCTCTTCTACAGTGATGCTGCTTCGACTCTATCCGAGCGCCATCTAGTTCAGCCTCGCCAAGTCTGCATGGCAGTAGTACACAAACTCCATCTTGGCCGAAGGATCATCTAAGGTGACCCATAGTCGCGACATAAAGACCAGAGTGACTTCTAAACGAAGGCATTCACTGAAGATTCCTCTCTTTTTGGGCACTGACGCTGGTCACCAAACATTGCACAATGTACTCAGATGTACTCTTTGTAGTGACAAGAAATCTGGGCATTGAAGCATGTCGTGTCCAGGTTCGAGCGGTGCTCAGCCATCGTTACCAGTATCGCGTCTATGCCACGAACGAGGCTTGGCAGTGTCCTCACTGGTAGCATGTTCAACTCGGTTGTCGGATAGGAGTTCTACTGGCTTCAGATCGGAGGGATGATACCATCTTGAACGACGCTTCGAGTTCAAGCGGAGGCTTCTGTTAGCCAGACGACGGCAAGAATCTACAGTGGCTGCTTGCTAAAACGCAGGCCGTTGCAGGTGCAGTCCTCGCGACCCCGGAAATCTCAATTGCATCTCGGCAACATGTTCAGCTCATAGAATCATGGCATGGCAGAGCCGGATTGGCTGTTTCCTGTTCACTTGCGGCATGTGTTTGCATTGTTGTATCAATAGCCGATAGCCACAACCAAGGTGACTGGTGGCCTACCGGATCCTCCGGAAACTGTGGTGTTGGGTTCTGACCAGATGACAGTCCGCATCGCTTGGATCGAACCTCCAGGAGGGCGCTTGAATACGCCATGTCGTGCCCTGATCACAGATCGTGTCATCGATTACAAGCCCGAAGCTTCCACTTAGCTGCAGTTTCCTGCGAGTGCTCTCGCCAGCAGCCCCACTCCTCCCACTCCTCCTCTTCGTCCCCCCTCCTCTCTCTCCTGCTGCCTTCCGCTCTGCGTAGCTTCCTTGACGAGGACAAGGCCTGAAAGTGGAAGGCGGCAGGGCGAAAGAAGATACACTGGGTGGAGTTTCGGCATTTTCCTGCATAGGAAGTTGCGGGCCCTGCAGGCTATCGAGTGTATGTCGATGGCAAGTTGGCTTATGATGGGGCAACGGACTCCGTCACGAGGGAGCTCCCTGGTCGTGTTTCTTTGGTACTGTCAAAAGCTTGATGTGAGAAACCTTGTCAATCGAGGTTCACGCTGCTGAACTGCACACGCGGAGAGCTGCGCGACCTGGCGGTGGCTGCCGTCAATGCCGGCGGAGAGACCTTGGCGACCTAGCCAAACACTTTGATGGCCTTCAGCATCAACTGCAGCCTTTCGTATCCGTGCCGTTCCCTGCAAAGATGCCTTGAGGTGCCGACGGTCATTACGCGACACTGTGCACGCCGGCCCTTCAAACCCGAGCACCTTGGAGCAAAAGATCCTGTCAATGAGTTCAATTGTAATCTAGATCTGAAAACAGACACCTTAGCTAGTGTGATTTAGTGTGTGTACAAATATTAAATGAATAAATAAATATATATATATATGTATACATACATATTCGCGTACAGACTCAAGCTTTGTCGGGAAGTGTAGTTGCGTCTCAAATCTGGCAGGATCGCAGAAGCTTGCCTTGTTTGGGATAACCTGGCCGGTGCCAAATCGCCCAACAACAAGAAAGGTCAATACCCATGTCATCAAACCCATAAAATTGGCAGCTTATGGAAAGAAAGACAATCTGCATGCGCTCTGTAAGCCAGCGAGAAGCTGGTGCTGTAGATTCGTTCACCTCATTCGGGACATTTCGAGACGGAATTCGGCAGGATCCCGGAATCCCATGCCGCAAGCACGTTGAGTGTAAGTTGATTCTTTGACCTTGTTGCATTGTTGGAGACCAAAAAGCCAATGGCCAAGACACTATGGACACCCTGACGGCAAACACCAAGATGGAGCCAAATGTATTTACATGTGCTTACTGCTTACTCAACTGAACCGTTCGGTCAATGGGCAGAAGCAGCTGAGGCCACCAACCATTGTGTATGTTGACTGCGTCAAAGAAGCCACTCCTGACAGAATGTTGATCGACAATCACATCCGCATCGTGCCACGCCTGCAGACATGATGCGCTTGATTGTGCAGCACTTGGTGCGACTCCTGATCTTACCCTGCTCGTGCACCAGGCTTACAAAGAGCCGGAAGACAACGGAGGCACGGGGGGCATGCGAGAGATGGGTCTTAGTGCAGCACCCGGGCTCCATGTACGATAACTCTCACATATTCAGCCTTAGCAAGCGCTCGCAGGGAAGGAATCCGTAATACAGCACACATAAGTCCAAAGCCACGGCGACCAACAGCGCTTGATACAAGATGGCCTTCCATGCACCTCCCGTCATGATCCGTGCTGTTTGTCTTTTCGAGGAGTGCCGCTGACTGGCTGGCGCATTCAGCGGGCACAGGGAGAATCATTGGCTTTCCGGGGCGTCGGTCCTCTGTTCCTCGGCCAAAGGGCAGAGCCGATGCCCCTCAGTCTTTGTTTTCTGAAAGAGCGGCCATGTATAGAAGATGGCTTTCCGTTGGGACTGCCTTTTCGACTCAGGTTCCCCATCCCTGAGAATGAAGTCTGGTTTGACGACTTCAACGCCACTCATCTTGGATTTGTGTGTCAACAAGAAATGCATAGCTGCAAGACTTATGGGACGACTGTCACCTCAACCCGCCCCATGCGCAAAGAGTAAGGACCTGGATGGAGCCGGAAAAATCGGCTTGGTTTGGGGGGAAATCTACAAGTACAGAGCCATGGTTGCATATGGTTGCAAGAGTGCCGTTGCAACGTGCCACTTCTGTTGAATCACAAGCACCTATCAAGGAGTTGTAGCAGTTAACGACATCGACATCTGGGATGACGAGAGCGCATCCGACTACACGATTGTACGATGTTCCAACGAGGCAGGCCGTCTTTGCTGGCAGCACTCGGCTGTTGTCACCGAAACGGACATGCAGGATCGTGTCGTCACGGCTGGTCGACACTCACCATCAAATTGACACCGCTGCAGGCACCTGAGGTTCCATGGTGGCTGCAATTAAATGCATCCACGACGACCACCACAACCACTGCAGCTAACCCGCGGTTAGTATTTTTCATGTTGTGGTCATCCATCACAGCCAGCTGCTGTTTCACGATTAATATGTGTTTCCTTGCTGATGCCTTGAGCGCAGCCCTTTGTCCCGAGGCCGCTGACAACCAGACTTTCGCTGCGGACTTGGTAACAGGCTTCGTTTGGAGCGCAGAGGCCCGGCTAACACGACATCATCTGGCCGAAAAAGTTCACAAGCCGCAATGCACTTTTGAAATTGGAGCTCTGCCAGTTTGCTATCGTTACCCGCTGCAAGAGGGACAAGTTGACAGGCCACAACAACCACCACAACGCTGACAGCTATGGAAAGCAGCTACGCATTTGCGAAGCTGGCAGATGTGGACCCAAGCTGTTGCACGCGGCACATGTTCATGCACTCATTTGTTGTACGAATGCCGATGAGCGCTCCGGCCGCTTGTCAGGACCCCAGAGACTGCTATCTGCCTCAGAATGTTACCGAAGAGCCCTTCAACTTTTCGGCAACGATCGTGAGTCTTGGCAGAGACATCATCGCGGTGCTCCTCGCAGAAGAATGCACAGTTGTTCATTGCAGGCAAGCTTTAGAAGCTTTCGAGCTGCCACCTGCACCAACGCTCTCCGTCGCTTGGTCCGCGTGCTGCTTGGCTCCCCAAGAAGAGATCATGTTAAACTGAGGGCTTCTTAGGGGTGTCGGCATGGCATCAAATCGCATGTCGACAGCTTGAGGCAACACATCGGTGAGAATAGGAGATCCCTGCAAGGAGTTCTTCCCAGACAGGCCCGGCCCGAGACGTGGGAGCGACCGGCAAGCATGTTTGCGCAGGTCGGATGTTGTGGCATGTGCTAGAGTGGAGTTTCGACCCACTCAGCCTGCGCTTCTCGCCGCAACAGACTCGCCCGACAAGTTAAGATAGCACACAACCTGTAAGCTTTCGACATCTATTGGTCCACGCTGACTCTGATCCGTTACATGGTAAGCAGGTGCGTCTTGCAGCGATGCCACAGCAACACCCTAAAAGGGTTTTGGAGCTTTGGGTTGCTCAGCACTGCTCAGGAATATCTCGTGCCCCGTGGAGTGGTACGAAATAGAACGAAACGAGGAGCTACCTTGCTGCAAAAATCATGTTGACGCCAGGGGCCGACACTGTTCAGATCCGCCAGTGAGAAGAAGCTTCGAAGGACAGTCTCGCGCCGGTGGGCATTCATGAAATACATCACTGCTGAGGCTGATTGCCACAGTTCGGCCGTCGCAGAACGGCTTCTTGGCTTTCCCAATCGGTTGCCACTCCCGCTACTGACACGCATTCTCACCCAATTGTCAGCAAGTTACCGTTGATGCTTGCAGCATCCCGCTTCCGTCTGTTCTCAGGCTTGGTCGATGCTTACACGGCTGAAACATTTACTGCCTCCCACTACGACGGCTTCTTTGGCACCCGATTCACTTGCTTCTTGGCCTACTGGTATGAGGGGGCAATCATACTGTGTTGCCACTGATGTAAAGGCATGTCAGCTGCCTTGCTCCAGGCAAGGTGGCACTCGGAAGAAGTAGTTACTAGTTAGTTTTTGTTCGGTTCTGCTGGCTGCATGTTTCAAGGTTTCCAGACTATTCCGAATCGCGACTTGCACGACAAGCAGCTATACAGGACCTTCGCAGTCGATGTCGATTGCAGCAGGGATGTCGGCTTTGCACCCTGGTTGAAGGCAGCTTGCTATCTCCAGAGCTACCAGCCGTACTCGACTGCAGGATCCGTGCCCAGAATTGTCGAGGATGGGGCGCATGGTCGGAGGCAGGCACAAGCCACACTGCGCACTACAAACCAGTCACCTCCAGATGGAACGCGCAGGAACTGCCCGTGCCAGTGGCTGCTCCGCCAGCGCCAGTCTGTGGCCGCTGGTTTGTAAATGTTTGTAATGAACAGTCAGCGATTCATCGCGGATCTGCGCCTGCAACACACCGTGAAGATATGCATGTCCTTCCGCCGGTAGTAGGCACGATCTTTATGAAAGCAGCACGGTACCGCATAAGTTGCGATTGGGGTCGTCCAGACTCTAGTTGCAGAGCCTGCAGCCCCTTCGGAGCCAAGGCCTTTGGGGCTTCAACAGCGACTTCCAGTGCCTTGGATTTCCCAGGGTACAAACACGGATTGAAACACGACTTGCTTGGTTTTCTATTTGGACCAATTGCCACATGAGACCTGAAAGCTGGGACGCGCGGAGGTACACATGCACGCAGCCAGGCCTGTCCGTGACTCCTTTGCCACCTCGCCGCAGGGGCTAGCAAGGTTTGCAGAATGAAAGATTCCTTAACACGCTGAGCTGTCACATGACAGCTGCAGATGTTTTCGGAGCAGTACCATGGTGAGCATGAGGCATGAAACGAATCTAGGCATCGCGTGATTGTCCAAGGAACGACACCTCGGCAGAGTTTCAGTGGACATTGCTCCAGGACGGCAGACCTGCGGGACTGACTGCCAGGTGTCAAGGCTGTCTCATGTTGTCAGCTACGTTGAAACATGCTGGTCAGGACGCACAGCTCGTGGATGTGGCAAACAATTTCTCGCGAATACAGGCCGCCTCGACACATTCCGTTGTGTTGTGCGAGGGTCTCATAAGAGTTCCTCAGGCGGATATCGGTCAAGTGGGCCCTGGCGAGCTCTCTGGCAAGATTCTGGTTTTCCCTTAGGGCATGAGCGGCATCGCGTGCGATTTGCAAGCTCGACACCCTTCCCATCCGAGTTTCGTGACCTTCGCACAGCAGCTCATCGGCTCCTACGACCCACGTGCCCTCCTCGGCTACAGACTGCTGCTTGGACTTGCAAATGTGCCGCTAGGCACTTAGGGTCTCCTGTTGCTCTCGAGCGGCCTCTGTAAGATGGAGGCACTGCGCAATGCTGCACACGTGCTCGGAGGCTTTTGGATGATGGTTTGGGCGGACCCTTCCATCTGGCCTATGACGGCATCGGCAGGCCAGAGATTCGGGAACAGGTTTCGCCATCATTTCATCAAGCCAACCCCAAGCACATGCCAACCTGACGGGCAGGCGCCTGACCAATACTGCAAAGATCTTTGGGCTTCTTCCGGAGCGCACCTACCGCGCCTTCGTTCGTGCGGTATCATTTGTGGGCGAAGGCAAGTTTCTGTACCTGTAGTTGTGTTGTGCCTTATGATGCATGCCTGGCCAGCTTTCGGTTTCCACTGCCTCAACCCATCTAGAATGTAGAGCAACGTTGCGCTCACAAGATCTAGCGACGTGCAGGCAACGCTAGTGATATGGTGTACTTCAAGATGGCGATGCCGCTTCCCGCTCCGGTCCTTTGGTTTGAATTGAACAGATCAGGTAGTTCTTGTACGGATCTCTCGGGGCTGAGGTCAACCTTTCCGTGAGTTCCGTATCATTGAAGTCCGTCATGTTGACCTGGAGAATGCCTTACGCCGAGACGGCTGATGCCCTTCCGTGGCTTGGCTGTCAGAGACCTAACATCAAGGTCCGGCCGGGGGTGGGCAAGGGCCACCTTCGAGATCTCGCAAGTCCTCGTACTTTCGAACGCTGCCTTTCAATCCCAGGGTTTCCCAGTACATCGTTCAGATGGCCATGGAGCCCGACTTCAGCAATTGGCAACTCTGACCGATGTGAGATTGACCTTGTGTTAGGGTTTTTGGTGAGTGTTTTACGCGGTTGCTTGTGAATACGAAAGATTGAGCTTCACGGCTTGACTAGCTTCACTTTACTAACGGAGCTAAATGCTCGTCGAACTCGCGCTGCTTTCGTAAGCAGGTTCGACGTTCAGAATTCGCCCGCCGACAACACGGAGTACAGTGCCTGGTCTACATTACAGATGCCTATCGGAAAGCAGGTTCTGCCATGATCTCGCAAGCTCGCCTCAGGCATCCTGGTGACCCAGTTGGAGGCCGACTTCCGCTATGCCCTTCGAGTGATGGCAAACTCAAAGACCGCCGGCGAAATTTGATAAAGTGTTGGCTACTGATCCATGCCGAGGTTCCAAATTCTGATGCAGAATCAATTCACCGCATGACACATCACTCCTCAGCTTACAAGGCTTACAAGCCGCAAGGTTCCGGAACCAGAGCATGAACAACGATGAGCTGAGTTTGTCCGAATCAGGAACGGCTTGGGCCATGCCTCAGAACCTCTCTACTTCTGGGCTGGACTGCTGCCGAACGACACCTGCATGTATTGGAATCCTTATTTGCTAGTGATGCTTTTGGATGTCAATTTGTGAGAAGATGTGAGAAGGGAATTATGTGTTGCAGGTTTCCGTCGTCGTTGATGTAGTTTTCCACTGTTCGTCTTACGCTGTTTGTGCATTGCTAGGTTATGTTGCTTTGTGCTTGATTGCTTTCCACCTTTTGCACTCTGCTTTTGGCGTTCTGCTTGCTTCTGGGGCTATGCTTTCGTTTTCTGCTTTTGTGCCTGCTGGCTTCAGCTGACTTTTCTCTGTGCTATTGATGACTTCTTTGCTTTCATGGTCTGCTTTCTGCTGTATTGGCTTGTGCTGCTGAAGTTTTGCTTTCCGCTTTGCTACCTTCATCTGCGCTGTTTTACTGTTCTGCGCTTGGTTCATTCGCTTTCTGCGATCTGCTTCGCTCGCTTAAGAAATGCGATCAGTCGCCATCGCCTAATGAGCAGGTGGGTTTTAGACAAATGATCAAACTCCATCAAACTCCATCGCCTGCTGGTTTTTGGTTTTTCGGTTCGAGATAATCGCGATCAACCACCATCGCCTAAGGATGGGGTGGCTTTAGGACATGCAACAAACGCCATCGCCTAGTGAGTGGGCGAGTTGAAGATATGTGATCAACCGCCATCACGTAATGGCGGGGCAGGTTTGAGAAATGTGATTGCCCGCTACCAAACAATGATCGTGTGGTCGAGAAGTGTAGTCGTGCAGACAGTAGTTCACCCCCAGCTTTGTCCCGCTTCAGTATATTACGCAGCAATGAGAGAGACAGAATCAATAACTTTGCACTGAACAACAAAAACCCAAACTTTTTGGGATGTGTTACATGTACTTGCTTCTGCAAGCGTGGCTGGCTTTTTCTGCGAGCGCGTGTTGATACATACACGCTATTGCCGGCAAACGGACGTCACAGCTCACGGAGGCCAACCCCAATGAACGGAGACAGCTGGCCTAGCTGGCTTGTTGGTTACTGATAGCTGCTCATCAGGCGCCAGTTCAACTGGAAAAGATACAGCGGCAACAGTACGCTCCTGCGAAAAGTATTGCCACAGATGCTTGCGGCAAGCTCAGAAGCAACGTGCACTTTTCCATTTCAGGAGGGCGCCGCACTCACACAGAAGGAACAATGAAAGCCTCAACCGATCATTTATGCTACTGGCATTTTCGGTAGGTTGCACCTGGCACACTGGTCTAGCCCGGTGCCGGTGCCGGGGTGCGCACTTCTGCGCCCCCTATGGTCACCGCCGGGCCGCCGACAGGCCGACAGGCTCACAAAGTCGAGAGTTAAAAGGGATGGCGAGGACGGGAGCTGGAAAGGTGATTGAGCAGGAAGGCTGCGGCGATCGCTGCTGCTTGTTCCTACGCGTACGGAAACGCTTTACACAACAAGGGCAAATAGCTTCAGAATCCTATTTAGAGATGCACGTCGCTGTCACCACTGTATGTCATCTATGCATGCATACCTGCAGACACATGTATCCAGTTTCGCACACATGCACACGCACGGAGACGCTCGGGGTCTTTCCGGATTCGAGACAATTGCAGTTCCTTGATTGCCATTGTGCCGTGCCTTGCCGCCAGCCCCAAACGCATCAACTGCCCTTCGAGTGTAGTGTTGTGTAGTGCCCAGGAAGGACCTCGCCTCGTTCAGCGCATTGAGTCGGAAGTACTTCGGCGGCAAGTTTGCACAGTGCATAAAACAGCAGCTGTACACACCATCCCTTGCAGAGGTACGGATAGCCATGCCCAGCCAGTCTGACATCTAAAATCTTGCCACTTTTTTGACCAATGCCTGAGGCGGGCACCATACAGATTCAATGGGAGCTCCTTCGCTAAACTTATGTTTGGTTTGGCCCGTCGCCTCTTGCCGCACTTGCCAGGAGACCGGGTGGTGCCATGCTCGGCACAGGCACACGCATGGAAGCTATCACGACAGATTGGGGTGCCCGCGGCTACATGCGCCTTGGTCTGAACAGCTGTAGGCGAAGCCACTGAGTTGACGTCTTGTCGAAAAGCGAATCCAATCGGAAGACATCCTGCATCCTTTTTTCAGGTGGGATCCGGCCGTGGAGGATCCAAGACTAGTTTTCGATGGGCTTGGACATGCCGATACAGCCCCCTTGCTCATTTTGTGATGCTTTCCATGCTGCGAGGGCTGTTGATCTCTTCTTGAGTCATTGCCGGATTGGACCTGTAATATGTTTTGTGCCATGTAGTGATTTCCGTGTGCATATATTTCATTCTATTTGCCACGTGCAGTGCAAATCTCTTGACCAGGTGCAGTTCACAGTTGCAAATGCCACATGTGGTGGGCAGTACAAGATTGCTATGACACCCGGTAGCATAGCAAGAACCAAAGACGACCTGTTGTCTTTGCGGCATGGGCTGCTGCAGGCTTTCCGAATGAGTTTGCTTCGTCTCAGCCTGCTTGCGCTGAGGACTACCATTACAACCATTGGGGAGGGTCCCTTATCTACTGTCTTGGACGTGACCAATGCGAGGCAGGACAGTTTTGAAGTCGGATGCTCCGAGAGGCCAGAGAACCAACTGCTGACTGGGCTACTGTTGCAGACTTCATTCAGGCTGCCGGGTGTACCTCGGAATGTGGTCGTCACAAACACGACAACCTCATCAATCTCCATCGCATGGGAAGAGCCAGAAGACACAGGATGTGCGTGTGACGCGACATGACCATGGGCAAGTGTAAGCAGTTTTGCAGCCTCGAAGCTTGCTCAACTGGAGCTTCACACGGTTTGTCAATGCTTTCTTGTTATCGCTGCACACCTGCCTTCCTAAAGCCGGAGAGGATGCGTCCCAATCCACCAGTACAGCAGCTTGTGACGCAATACCGTCCTGAGCATTACTTGCCTGCAGCCAAGCAATACGAGCTTGGTGGCAGTTTGAGGAATCTTGCGCTACTATCCCGAAGCTGGCTTTCGAGTCGTGGGCTATGCCACACCTGCTGACGGCCTCCTGCAAGTGCCAGCAGACACGTGGACAAATCTGTAACAGTGTCGGCACATGCACACATGTACACTTTCGGGTATGATGTGGTTTGATTGATACTTGTTGCATGACACTCAAAAGACCTGGTAGCTGATGCCCAACAACTAAGAATCGCACTTACGTGGACGACGGTCGCTGCTTCTTCGCTAGCCCAGCAGATGACGACGGGTCCTGCACCTTGGTGTTTTGAGAGATTGCGTGAAAAATCACAAAATTGCAGTTACTTTCTGTTACAGCTCTGCACGTTGACTTGCTGAAAAGGGGCCATTTGCAGGGCCGTCCGAAGTTGAAGTGATCCGAGGTACGTGTCCGCCGTCATGCCTGCAAGCAGGTGCTTTTGGGCCTCTAGAAGCACCTGTCCCCAGACTCCCGTTCTGCCCTTGGAGGTCAACTGTATCGCTATCAGGTGCAGGCATGCGTCACTCGGCCGGAGAAGCAGAGCTGTAAGCAGAGCTCGGATCTTGGTCCTCGAAGTGCGCTGAGGTCTTGGGGGCCTATGGTGTGGACACCTTGGAGCTCCCCGAGGCCGAAGCTGAGGATAGCAGAGAGGACGCGGAACGTGGTGCCCTCTCTGTGGCAGGGGGGCCCTTTGGGCTGTGGGCCAAACTCCAACACTGTCTCTGCCTATGCCGCGGACCTCTCTGAAGCTCCTCGCGAGCCGTGCCTGGAAATCCGTGGCTTTCAATATCAAAGTCTGCTTCCACGTCGCATCAGAGTGACCATTTCAGGACATTCGCTTGGGCGAGCCCGAAGGCAGTCAGATTCTGTTGTGACCCGGCGTAAGATGTGGAAATTCGGGCGCGGCTGCATAGCAGGAGTCACGTATGAGAACTGACGAAGAAGAGGTGAGAGAAGCAATGCAAAACCTCGAGGTACTGGACAGCACCGAGTACCGACGGCCTCAACGGCTCCAGCTTCACGTACGAGATCGTCGCTCGTCAGAGATCTGTTATAGGAGGCGAACCTAGGTGTTATTGCACGAGGCATCTCACCAGCTTGATGTGCTCAGGAAATGGATGTGGGTGGCGTTTTTACCACTTTGGGTCTGACGCCGCTGCGATGCAACACGGTGCTTGAAGCCGTTACGATGAGCCAACTGTGTAGTAACCGGATTCTCAGGACAGACACAAGCTTTCTCATCTCTGGCCTACAACTGCAGTTTGCCTACATCTTCAGGACACTCGATAGCATCGCGATTCCTTTGAGCGCCATCAGTATGCACATGTCCGAACCAGATGCTTTCCTTGTCGATCTACATGAATGCATGGAGCACTGGGGTGGGCAGGATTAGCACCTACAACAGCGCTGGCTACGTGACGCGCTCCAATGTCTCCGCGACATGTGTTCCCTCGAAGTAGGCTGGGAAGTGCAAGGCAACGTTCGAGCGCGCATAGTTCTGCTCAGACACTTGCTTGAACAGTTGAAGACCCCGGCTTTTCAAATTCCCTTTCTTTCTAAGGGCAAAAAATCCAGATGCCTTGCAATCCCTTGCAACGTGCGCAGATTCATTGGTTAGTTGTTTACATAAACCATCGTTGTATCTCAGATTCGTATTTTGATCGACGGTAGTTACTCAAGCGCGACTGATGCCAGGGCATTGGCTACACTGCGACACTTCCACCTGCTGTTCCGGAGCCAGCGAGCCCCATTCCGAGGCCTTCCCGAGCGTGTCTCACGGATCTGTGACCATCTTGTGCATAGCAGGGCCAAACACTTTGTTTTCGATCTACAAGACTCGAAGGCCGGACGCACAAATCCCAAGATTCAACTGTGATCACGGTCAAGCGCATCGAAGCATTTTTTGGTTATGCACCGAAAAGGGTTGGGGGCTGCTGTGTGATGCAGTATGTTCGATGACGACAATTGACATGTCGGTGATGATTTGCTGGAGCAGACCGACGACGATGAAGCTGTTTAAGTAACCCCAACTTGGGGATAAAATGAGAATGCAGATTCTTGAGTGGCAAACTGTAAGGAGCGAGAGATCAGGCACATCTGGCACGATCGGATAGGGCCTGCAGCATGTTGCAATCCTTACTCTGCGGGGAGGTGTCTCCGAACCCCCCGATACCCCCCGTGAGAATTCCTGGGGAATTCTATTATTGGTACTGGTGAGAATTTGTGCAGGATGCGGATACTAAAGATAAGTATGCCGACCGCGGCTTTGCAAATCTGTTGGCACCAATTGACCATGGACGAACTCAATGCACGGACGCAGCATGAGCAAGCTCAGAGTAGCCTAGCCTAGCGGTGGTCAGATCACTGTAGATGCTAGTAGCAACCAGAAGATAATGAATAAACAGCAACAAAATAGCACCACACCGCCACCACTACCGCAACCATCACCAACAATGACAACAACAGCAGCAACAACAGCAGCAGCAACAACGACGATAGCAACAATATCAACAACAACAACAACAGCAAAGAGCGATCCAGAAAGGCAGGAGCAGCAATCTTAACTGCTGGAGCATCACCCGCTTCGACCATCGCAACACCACAAGCAACAAAAAAGACAAACTCATCGAACCATTATCTAAGCCACATCGCTCTTATCAAGTGCCCTAGAATGCCCTAGATCCGGTTCCGAAAACCCTTTCCGGCCGCCTCCCTGTCAAGCACAGATAAGAACGGGTCCGACGGGTAGATTTCCAGACTTGCGTTTCGATCAGTCCACTAGAGTCTGCAAAGAAGCACGCAACACTAACGTGTGTGATCTCTGTAATCTTCTGGGTTGACGCTTCGTCCGCGGCCCTGCCAGGTCTACCTGGGCCCTTCGGAAGCAATTGCTGGCTGAGCGGTTCCTTTCAGGATGTTTGCTGTCTGATTCCATGTTCTACACCCTGACGTGTTCTGTAATGCGAGCTTCTGACACACCCGCAGTTCCGGCACGGCAAGTGGCCGGTAGAAGTGTGACCCAGGTCAGCAGCGCCTTCTTTCAGCATCCTTCCATGGCCTCGACACCAGTGCCTGAGGGCGTATCACTTCGCTTCAGCGCCACTGCCGTCAATGGTTATGCTTCTTGGCTGCTTGGAGGACGCAACAAGTGGAGAGACCAAACCAGAAGCCTGAATCATGCGTGCAATTACCCGGGTTCAAAACAAGCGAGTTGCTAAACAGTGAGTTGAGCGAGACTTCCAAAGCATTAAACCCTACGCCCCTGCTCCTTCATAGTGGTATCCCAGCTTGCAGGGAGGAGAAGAGCCCTCAAACACACCGCAATGGACCACCCCAGCACTCTTGTGCATCAATGCGACGTGGCTGCGGCCGGCCTGGATGGCAATAGCAGCAGCAGAGAAGCAGCTCTACCGAGTAGTAGCACTGGCAGCAGCAGGAGTACTAGTAGTCGTCGTCGCGCTTGGCGATTTACCAAGCATTGTAGGGCTTCAAGATGGAGTTGGCTTTGAATGTTCTTCCGGATTGCGACGACGGCCGGCCAAGGATTTGTCTAGCCAAGCCCCTTCGCACCCGCGCCCCCCGCCAAGCGAGGAAGATACAAGGCTCAGCGAAAGAGAAGAAGCACAAAACAGGGGAAAGGGAAGCAGTGGATGGAAGAAACCACAAGCAGCAGGGCACGGAAATGAGTTATCTTGACGACAAGAACCACCACCAGAATGGACAGAAGATGGAAGCCAGCATGGCGCTAAACCACAAGAAACACGTTGACAAAGACACTACTGTACCAACCTATCGAGACTCGGGCTCAGGCTTCCTGGTGTGCGCATCATCGTGCACTAAGTCCTTACGTGTCAATGTGGGGGGGTACTGTAATCGGCTTTTTGTCCGCAGCCGTGCAATGCAAGACAGTGCTACCTTGTAGATTCGGGCTCGTTTGCAAACTGTGAGGGTTCTATATTGGCACTGGGCACTTCAGCCAGCTTTGCTCAGACTTTCGGGCTGGAGCACCTACCAACTTGTTGGATACGGGAGTTCATCTATGGTCAAGACATGACCAGCGATGTCAGGCTTGGGCAATGGTTGTTGAGAGCAGTAACCTCGACATGGTGACAGCGACTACGATGAAGGCCCTCGCCAGTTTGCCAGGGCGCTAGCTTTTGCTTTCCGCGAAGACAACAGGGTTATGAAGGCAAAGGAAGAACGTCCAAGACTAGGGGATCGTGCTTTGGTGAGCTGCTTCAACCTGCTCTGCTGGACAGGATGGCACCTATGCCGTGGGTGGGGCAGCATGCTACCGGGCACAGCAGGCGCCTTCCCCCATTTCAAAGCACAGCTTCAACTAAGACCAACGGCAGGACATACAGTGGTCCAGACATGTTCAGAAGGTCGAACGCAAGCATGTCGTTCCCAGCCACTGTGGCACTTGCCCAGGCGGTCGCGCGTGGAGAAGTTTACTTTTGGCGCTTGGGAAGCTACCCGGCAAAACTTCTGCCTAAAGGTTCCCGACTTTCGTAGAGATCCCGGCAGATATTGTTATGGTTTTGCGCACAGCGTGTGGAGAAGCTCACAGAGAGATGAGGTGACGACAACCCATCAGACCCAACAGGATGCTTTTTATCCCATGGCGGGACCTACGCCATCGTGGCTCGTTCGCACATGGGCGATTTTCCGATTGTGCCGCGCATGCCCACCCCCCAAGCTCGCATGGAATTTTGGCTTGGGGCCTTCGTGGTGACTTGCGTGAGAGGCAACCTACGTGCAAAGCGTGGCGAGCTTCGACGCAGGGCTCAATGACGGGACGTTGTCGGGTCCCATCGAGTTTACAGCATCTCGGTGAAGGGTGCGTGTAAGATTGTGCAAGTACACGGTACGAGAATGAGCTGCTGAAGAGTCTGCGTGCATGTTACGCCGTTACGCCATGTTGCTGCTGGATGTGTATGTCCGCACTGTCCAACGCCAAACTCAGGTAGTTTCTGGCCTTTCGAACACTTTCTACAACTCTCCGACGCTCAACAGAGACCAAGCGGCATGCAGAGTTTAGAGTATTCAAGTTTAGGGCCCGAGGACCTTGTGTTACTTCCAGTCGGGATAGAGTGTATGAGAAGTTCTGAGCCAGCCGCTAGCAAAACCTGGTCGGAGCGAGTGAGCGCAAAATATTCGTGTCATGCGCATGAAGTTTGAACACCTCAGGTCCACTGACCGAGAGTGGAGTCACGCTGGCCTTTACGCCACGCAGGCCTGGATACGGCTGGGCGATGATTTTGAGCCCGGGCAGCAAAATGTCGACGAGCAAGACAAGTCTCAGGTCTCCATTTGCCGACCACATCTCCTGACTGCAACTTTCAGACATCAAGCGTCAAGCACTTGACACGAGGACGGAAGAACAGGCACGCTCAGCGACGAAGGACGGTGCTGCTTCCAACTTGCCACACGGGTTCAGTCGTAAAGGTGAAACAGAAATCCTTTTAAGCGAAGTCTTGGCTCCACCGATCTCACCCCAGGCACCAACGAAGTTATCTAGGTCTGCCGGTCGAGGTCGGGGTGATCTTCGATGCTTTGCAGCTTCGTACCTGGAGTGATCCCCATAGGCTAAAGCGTTTCTTGTAAGTTAAGCGAGATGTCAACATCCAGAAACACCGGCTGAGATGTCTGATATCAGCTGACAATGGTGACATGAGCCCTTTGGTTTCCTGAGCATCCTGCTGTGGCGAAGGAGCACGTCTACAAATTGGACGGTGCTTTGGGTGGACCGTGTCCTAGCAGCCATCGAGGGCAGAAGCAGGTATTTAGTGTACGAAGCATGACAGCGTGTAGCATTTCAGCGTGTAGCCTCATGCTTCGGGAGTGGTCGGCCTGCTCCATTCATTTCTGTTTGTGATCCGGTCGATCCGCTCTGCACTAAGCTCACGTGACTAAGTTTCTGCAAACACGGTCCTCGACAGCTTTTTGCCAATCGAGAAGAAGCGTGGGTCTTCTCAGGCTGGCCTTTCTGTTCCCACCAAAATACTCGCTCCGGCTCCACCGAACACCCTTTGGAGCACATTGGAGCCCTTACCATCCCTTCCCGATTAGGATCGGAGTCCGAACTCACCCGAGCCGTGCGCATCTACCCCCTTTCCTCGCTGTGAGGCTGCCTCCTGACAGTCGGCAATCGGTATACCGTTCTGGCCTACATTTCCGGCATTGGAGCACACCTGGACGGGACTGTTGACAGCGTGTCTCTCTTGCATCATACGCAGAGATACCTTGAGATGTCTTCAAATGCTCCCAAGAAGACCGCACTAAGAAGTAAGAGTTGATGTGGCCCTGGGCCTGAGGCTTCCTCAACTGCAACCAGTGCCAGCAACGCTTTCTCCACGTTCCCAACCATCTCCGGCCCGCCCAGCGGAGCTGCTCGGTGAGGAGTTGAAAACAGGGCTCTCGTAGCGAGTCGCACAGTTCCAAAACTCAGGATGGTATCACCGTGCAGCTGCGGACCAGGTGCCGTGCAAGTGGTGCAGGGTGGTTGGTTGGCATGGTCCTCGGTCCTTGTCATTCAGCAGCTGCCTCATGACTCGTCAGTTGCTCTGACCAAGCTGTGTCGGGAATTGGAACACGTTTTGAGCCATCGGCTTGGTTCTGACTTCTCAACCGATGGGCAGCCTGCCACTGTCATCCTCGCAGGTCGAGTGGTTACCTATGGCTCATGATCACTGTGGGACCGGTTGCACTCACCATCGATCTGATCAAGGTTGCGAGCCCTGAAGTATAGGACAGGTTACCAGTTGGCTTGCCATACTGCGAGTGTTTGATCTTTTGTGATGTCAAGGCTGGCGTCGGGGCTGTGGGCGCCAGTACCTGCCGCGTGCTTGCAGCCACTCGCCGTTCGGAACAGTGATCCACCATCGTACACGTTTGCACATGCCCCCTGATATGAACAGCTAAAAGCCTTGGGAGAATCTCCACGTAATTGCTTGGGGCGGCCGGAAGTGCCCGTGAGTCAGGGAGAGATTGCCATAGGAAAGTACGGTTTGCGTACGCCCCCTTCCTCTACGACGTAGGTAGTATGTCAGAAAGGGGAAAGAGCTCCAGCCCACTTATTTGATAAGGCGACTGTGGACGACAGCCTGCAACTTTGGTCAAAGTTAGAAGTCTCGCAGCACGAGGCAGCAGATGTTCCTTTGCGCAGTTGGCTTCAGCCGAGGCAATCCTTCGATCTCTCGGCTTGCAAGCTGAATTCTGGTCCCGAGTATGCCCTGCACTCCTACATTGAGGGCACGACATCTTCAGGGTGCCTTGGGCAGAAGGCAGAACAGAAAGTGTCTTGCATCATGAAGCGGTAACGTTGGCTGTCAGGAATGATGGCAGCTTTGCGGGGACCGTCACGCTACTCGACAGCATTCAAGCCTCGCGGAGGTTCTGAGCATTTTGCTTGCTGAGGTTCCAGGTGACTCCTTCGAACATCTTTGTGCTCTACCCCTCCATCATCTCAGAGACCACAGGACTTGGCTTCACTTTCCAGACACTTGGTTTAACCACTTAGTCAGGAGAACAATCATAAGCCATATGACTGCTGAACACATGCCAAGGATGACCGCATCCTTCGCTGGACGCTACTGGTTGCTTCTCCGCGAAGGCAATGCGGCCATCACGGTTGAGGCACAGCGACTGGATGTCTGCCTGCAAGACATTGCTCTCAGCGCCCAGGAGATCAAGTCCGGCACGGGTGCGCTGGGTCTGGCAGAGTGCCAACGCAGCTCCGAGGTGTTGACCGCATCACTTCAGGCAGGTTTATTTAGTCCGTGCGGAAATCTCCTGCCTTGCCTCCCTCCCGCCGCTTCTGCAGGAGCTGGTCCTGACAAATTGCCAGCTCAGCCAAGACAGACTCTACAGCCTGTATGTGTACATCGAGGCCGGAACGCGGTCTTTTCGGGCCATACAAGACCGTGTAAGAACGTTGAGAAAGAAGCCGTTATTGAGCTGACAGGATTTTAATGGCAACGATGACGGCATCATCGCTGGGCCGATCAGCTTTTATGTCAACGGCTGAGGAAGTGTTAGTCATCTGCCAAAGACTGGCAACGCAATCGCATTACAATGCGAGTTGAAGTGACATCCTGGAAAGTGATCAGGTCCTCGAAGCAAACAACTTTGAGGACTCACCTTTGCCTGTCGAAAACTCCGCCACTCTCGACGGGGTGGCACTGTCTCGTTTTTGCATCGACTAGACGACCAGGTAACTCCAATCGCACAGGGCTCGGTACCTTTCACTGCCAGGTGCGACTAAGCTTCATGGCCAGCAGAGAAGGTTTTGCTTGGGCAGCCCTCTTCGAAGACTATGCAGAGGCCGCCCTATAGGGAGGCAGAGGCTTCATGGGCTTGGATGCGGCATGTGACGATTCAGGCCTTGGCCTATTTTCTGGACGTCCCCACCTTCCTGGACCGGCATGCGCCCTATTTACGGACAGCTCCGGAGCGGTCGAGGCTTTTGCATTCGTGCTGGGGAATCGCGTGCTGGCATCTCTACCGAGGTATTATCCGACAAACAACGAATCGTGCGCCCCAGCTGGGGTGCCCGTCCTCGCCTCTGGCAACATCACAAACATGACCCTTGCGGACTGCGGCTTGAACTACAGCGCAACGTATTGGGCAGTGGTCTACATTGAAGGCGGGAGATGCACTAGCCTCGGGCCTGACGCGTAAACTGAGCGCTATGTTTGAGGTATGGCAAAGACGAAGTCCGGGGCAATCTCGGCACCTGTTGAGGTGTTTGTGCCTCGTGCTTGCCCCAGAGCTTCTGGAGGAGTGACGACATAAGGAGTGAAGAGATGTGTAGACGGGCTATGCCATTACAGTGGCCGGTAGATAGCAGAGACCAGCAGACGTGCTTGCTGCCAGGCTCCAACGGCTTCCCCTACACACCATTGGTGCTTCAGGCCAGCGGCCATGCTTGCGCACCAGTGGGAGAAAATCCATGCAAACGCTGCGAGCTGTGCATCATTAGTTGCAGAAAAGCGGATCTCCTGTGCGATCCACAGGCCCGACCATACTTTGTCGACGTGGAAGTCCAACCGGCAGTCTTCGCTTAATTCAGCCCGGATTGCACCCAAACCGGCATGTGATGCGGTGGCACGAGGACGGAAAATCATTGCACGATCTCAAGCAGATCTGGCGCTGTTAGCGGGCTGATGAGTATTCTTACAGATGTTCCCTCCTGTCACCTTCATTGGCCCGGCGAACTCCCGGAAACCACAAACCCACGTCGCAGACCAGTAGCGGGCGAAATAAGTGCTGAGGCTACCATCGTCTTCCCACAAACACTGTGCATCGCAGACTGGCGAGAATGCTTGTCAGGAGTCTGCCTGCCTGCGCTAAGGTACGACCTGGTTTTTTGTGGATCATCGTGGTGCACGAGAACCATACTACCAAAGTCGACAGGAAGGCGGTGAAGTCTGGCGTCGTGCCTCGGCCGCTGCATTGCCTCAAGCGAAACGAAGCCGATGTACGATCGTCTCATCACTCAGGTGCGATGTGTTGTCAAAGCCCATACTCTCGTTGATGACTTGGTCATTGGTCGTCCGAGGTTTCGATATTAATAACGGTTGGCACTGCAGCACCCCTCACCTTTCGCAGAAAAACCCTTCCAACCCACCAAAACTAGCATTCAAAGCCCAGGTGCCATCAGGTGAGGTCGTGTGTGGCCTGTCTGAGATCACGGTGAATAACAGCGCTGAGCCACTTGGCTTGAATACGATGCTATCACCTGATGACAGCCACGGTATACACGTGAATCAATCTTTGAAAGTACTAGCAAGTGCTCTCGAATGTGTGTGTGTACATGCACACAGGCACACATGTATACATATATATATATGTACACATATATATATATATGTATATATTTATATGGTAGCACCCCCCATGTACCCACGCCTGTCTTCTCAATCTCGGCTTTGCGAAGGGATGGATTCTTGGGATGGCCTTGTTCCCATGCCTTTGTCCGAAATCTCAGCTGCGGAACGGCGTGGGTTAATGGGATCGGGGGAGTGCCTGTAGATCGAATGTTTCTTCCTTATCTAACTACACGACTCTCGCCGAGGACCAAGATAGGGCGCATTGAAATACGCCTCGGCTCCAAGATTCCAAATTCAAGGTGCCAGGGAGAGCTTTGCCCGGCACCTTGAATCTTGGATCCGAGGTGTATTCAACAGAATACGTTTTGAATACGTTTGAATACCGAACCTTGTGGTTTGACCGTTGCATTTTGTATTTCGAGCCTGTCGTTGTTCTGTGGATGGTCGTCGTTTCCTGCTCTGTGGATACGACAGATATAGATGCTGCAGAGCGCGGTCATGGCAGAAACTTAACACCGGTACTGCTTTGCGAGGTAACATACCCACAATACCTTGTATGTGTTTGACTCTTTCAGAAAGCATCTACCTTATCATACAGCTGTGATTGCCGTGATTCATCCCGTCATTTGTGTTTTACTATGTTTTACTGTTGAGACATGTAGACTAGCACAGCAGTTCCATTCCAGCGGCGTCGCACAACTAGGAAAACTGAGTTTCATCTCGATAGAACTGTTAATACCCTTTGTACATGCGCAGAAATATTGATGAAACTTGGTCGGCCTAACCAACCACTAGTTTGATAGTTTGACGGATTGGCCGGATTCAATTGTTGGGCACAGATGTGAATATGTGCTCTTGCGATGTGCTTACATATGCATATCAGTTGCTGCATATTTGCGAACATGTTCATGAGACTAATCCTTTCATGCTGTACAAGACTTGGTATGAATCCCTGCTCGAAGACGTTACATTAAGAATACCACTTCATTGATCGTCTTCTTCCGTGACCGTTTACGGAACTCTACGTGTCGTCTACTTTTGTCTACGACTGAAGACTATACTAATTTGAAATGTAGTGTTATATGGAAAATGTATTGGCTTCGCTTCGCTAGCACTTATCTAAACGTACATGTATAACGTGTGTTGCTTCATGCTTGCATGGGGGTGTCCCTAATTGGCGCACTTCATGTTTGTACGTTTTTAACTGGTGCTTACAGTAAAGAGCAGTACCCAGTACAGTCACCACAAAGCTCTGCCGTACAGGAGTCTTTAGTGGTCATCATGTATTAGGTGCGAAACTTGTAAACGACTTTGTAAGAACAGACAAGCCCCAGCTCGATAGGATGGACATGACTCAAACGATGCACAGGCTAAAGATTAACTAAACTCAGAAAAAACCTGTACAGCTCACAGTTGATGTCAATACAAGACAGCGAGAACAACAAACTTACGTAATCAGTACCAATAATGATATAGCTTAACCAAAGAGGAGTAGAATGGAGTAGAAAGTTCAATACGCAGCCAACACATGTTGAACTATCTTCGGTCTTCCCCTCTTTGAGCTGGCTTCTAAGAACCAATATGTCAGCAGAATAAGCCATAATTGAATTGAGAGTGTATGTGTATGTTGACAAATCGTGCAAGCACAGGTGCAAATGTTCGAAAAGTAGTAGTTCGTAGGCTTAGACTTTATCAAAATGTGAATAAACGTAGGATTCAACAACTAGTACATCTACAGGTCGCTGGTATAAAGCAGAGTGAATAGTAGCTACGGGACTAATGTACCTAGGAAAGATTTTATTCAGACATCGTGACAAGGGAAAGTAAAGACTGTTAGCTGGGTTATGTACCTAGGAAAGTTTTTATTCAGCCATGATAAGACAGGGAAATACAGAGTGTTAGCTGGGTAGGTATTACTGAAGCAATCAGAAGGGTGAGTATAACCTGGTCACAGGCAGCGCATCATTAGTAAATGTAACAGTGAAATTACACTGGGTGCTGGCATAGAAGAACGTATAGTACTTCAGTGTACTTTGCATATGGCCAAGAATAGTGGAGATTGGAAAAGTTTGTAGGGCCACGACGACGATCCCGCACAATTCAAGCACAAAGCGTGGGTTCATGAGGGGGGTAGCATAAATATATATATATATATATAGATAGATGCATATACATCCACATATACATATACGTATATGTGTATATGCACACTATCTATGTACCTATCCATGCTTCCATCGAACTTTCTGTCTATGAGTGAACTATATGCATGTATACATGTACTGAGGGAAGAACGTTACAGCATGATCTAAGGTCACATCGTGCAACTTGGTCGAAAAGCTTTGGGCAGAATGTGAGGCTGACACTGACGGCGCGTCGGAAGATGTTCGATGCATGTTTGTGCCTTCTTTGTCAGCCCCAGGTCGAGGGCTGCCGGCTGCTGGCAACATATTCATACCACGCCTTCTTCTATGTCGAAGGCTCGAGTCGGTTGATTCCTTCCCTGCTACAGCTCCTCAACATGTTCGATGTTTTCATGCCTAGCCATTTGGCTCAGCCAAGTTGGCCAGGGCCCCCGCCTCGCGGTCGCTCCGAGCCGAGCGCCGAGCGCAGCCATGGCGGAGGACCCCACCCTGGGCATTCGCTTAAACAGGATCTGCTGCATCGGTGCGGGCTATGTCGGTGGCCCAACCATGGCAACCATTGCATTAAAGTGCCCAGATCTTCAGGTGAACATCGTAGACATGAACGAGCCGCGAATCGCGGCGTGGAATTCCGATAACCTTCCCATCTACGAGCCTGGGCTTGACGAGGTGGTCAAGGCATGTCGGAACAAGAATTTGTTCTTTTCGACGGATGTGAAGAAGGGCATTGAGGATGCCGACATCATCTTTGCTTCCGTCAACACGCCCACAAAGACCCAAGGTGTTGGCAAAGGCCGGGCAGCCGACCTCAGATTCATCGAAAGCGTTGGGCGCACCATCGCTCAGTATGCAAACCGGAGCAAAATAGTGATCGAAAAGTCCACGGTCCCCATCAAGACTGCGGAAGCCATAGCAAGAGTATTGACAGCCAATGAGGAAGCCAACGGTGGCAGAAAGAACTTCTGGATCCTTTCAAATCCCGAGTTCCTGGCAGAAGGAACAGCCATGAAGGATCTAGACATGCCCGATCGGGTTCTGATAGGTGGCCAGGAGCAGGCTGCCATCAAAGTCCTGGTCGACATCTACGCCCACTGGGTTCCCAGGGAGAAGATCTTGACCACCAACCTTTGGAGCTCGGAGCTCTCTAAGCTTCTTGGCCTTGTTCGTAGATAGCGGCGCTAGGTTGGTTCCGCGCGCAGGTGATTCTTAAAGAACCTGGGTTGTCGCGCAGTCCTGGCGCCCCGCGCTGCCAGAAATCCCAGAGTTTCAAGGGTCTCATGCGAAAGGAGCACAGACTGTCGGCATGGGAGTGGATTCATCGAGTTGTTTTAAGACTCCTTGAGATTTTCCACTTGACTGTGAGGCTGGTGGCCAATGCCATGCTTGCGCAGCGTGTGAGCAGCATCAACTCCATTTCGAGGCTCTGCGAGCGCACAGGAGCTGACGTCAAAGAGGTGTCCCGGGCCATTGGGACCGATTCCCGGATTGGACCCAAGTTTCTGAATGCTTCTGTGGGCTTCGGTGGATCATGCTTCCAGAAGGACATCCTGAACCTGGTGTACATCTGCCAGCAGTTCGGGCTCGAAGAAGTTGCTGCATACTGGCAGCAGGTGGTGGACATGAACGACCACCAAAAGACTGCCTTCACCAGCAAGATCATATCAGCATTGTTCAACACTGTGACGAAGAAGAAGATCGCCGTGCTCGGCTTCGCTTTTAAGAAGGACACGGGAGACGTGCGAGAGACTCCAGCGCTCACCGTGTGCGACATGCTGATGAAGGACGGAGCATTGGTGCATGTCTATGACCCCAAAGTGGAGATTGCGGATGCCTTGCAAGAGTTCAAGTATCACGACATAGAGGTGAACCAGAGCCAGTTCATCTTCACCAAGAGTCCAGAGGAAGCTTGCGATGGTGCCCATGCCATCATTGTTCTCACGGAGTGGGACGAGTTCAAATCCTATGATTACGAGGTGTTCTATCAAAAGATGATGAAGCCAGCGTTCCTTTTTGATGGACGCAACATGCTGGATCACAAGGTCCTCGAGGAGATAGGTTTCGAAGTGCATGCTTTGGGCAAGGCGCGTACAGCCAAGAATCATAGCGGCGAACAGGATTTTGTGCTGCGCGCCAGCAGCGCCTACCTCGATGGCAAGCTGGGAGCCTATCCCAGTTCTGCCTGAATGCCATCTCCGCGGCCAGCAGTTACGAACACGCCGTGCCTCCCTGTTTCATCCTTTTGAAGTGTCCATGCCATACAGTTTCTCATGTCGATACAATGCTAGTTCAGCTGATCTCAGCTGCGGTTTCCCGTGGCAGGTGCAACTGCCATTGTGTAGCACAGCTGGCGTGAGCAAGATAGCTGAAAATGCTTGACGGTTTGAATCAGATGTTGGGATTTCGCACTAGCTCTGGACAGATTTTGCCAATGCATCGCAATCGTCAGCACACAGCCCTTCATCGCATCGGCATTTTGATTTGCCCCCTGGGATCTGTGTCAGCCAAGTTGGCCAGGGCCCCCGCCTCGCGGTCGCTCCGAGCCGAGCGCCGAGCGCAGCCATGGCGGAGGACCCCACCCTGGGCATTCGCTTAAACAGGATCTGCTGCATCGGTGCGGGCTATGTCGGTGGCCCAACCATGGCAACCATTGCATTAAAGTGCCCAGATCTTCAGGTGAACATCGTAGACATGAACGAGCCGCGAATCGCGGCGTGGAATTCCGATAACCTTCCCATCTACGAGCCTGGGCTTGACGAGGTGGTCAAGGCATGTCGGAACAAGAATTTGTTCTTTTCGACGGATGTGAAGAAGGGCATTGAGGATGCCGACATCATCTTTGCTTCCGTCAACACGCCCACAAAGACCCAAGGTGTTGGCAAAGGCCGGGCAGCCGACCTCAGATTCATCGAAAGCGTTGGGCGCACCATCGCTCAGTATGCAAACCGGAGCAAAATAGTGATCGAAAAGTCCACGGTCCCCATCAAGACTGCGGAAGCCATAGCAAGAGTATTGACAGCCAATGAGGAAGCCAACGGTGGCAGAAAGAACTTCTGGATCCTTTCAAATCCCGAGTTCCTGGCAGAAGGAACAGCCATGAAGGATCTAGACATGCCCGATCGGGTTCTGATAGGTGGCCAGGAGCAGGCTGCCATCAAAGTCCTGGTCGACATCTACGCCCACTGGGTTCCCAGGGAGAAGATCTTGACCACCAACCTTTGGAGCTCGGAGCTCTCTAAGCTTCTTGGCCTTGTTCGTAGATAGCGGCGCTAGGTTGGTTCCGCGCGCAGGTGATTCTTAAAGAACCTGGGTTGTCGCGCAGTCCTGGCGCCCCGCGCTGCCAGAAATCCCAGAGTTTCAAGGGTCTCATGCGAAAGGAGCACAGACTGTCGGCATGGGAGTGGATTCATCGGGTTGTTTTAAGACTCCTTGAGATTTTCCACTTGACTGTGAGGCTGGTGGCCAATGCCATGCTTGCGCAGCGTGTGAGCAGCATCAACTCCATTTCGAGGCTCTGCGAGCGCACAGGAGCTGACGTCAAAGAGGTGTCCCGGGCCATTGGGACCGATTCCCGGATTGGACCCAAGTTTCTGAATGCTTCTGTGGGCTTCGGTGGATCATGCTTCCAGAAGGACATCCTGAACCTGGTGTACATCTGCCAGCAGTTCGGGCTCGAAGAAGTTGCTGCATACTGGCAGCAGGTGGTGGACATGAACGACCACCAAAAGATTGCCTTCACCAGCAAGATCATATCAGCATTGTTCAACACTGTGACGAAGAAGAAGATCGCCGTGCTCGGCTTCGCTTTTAAGAAGGACACGGGAGACGTGCGAGAGACTCCAGCGCTCACCGTGTGCGACATGCTGATGAAGGACGGAGCATTGGTGCATGTCTATGACCCCAAAGTGGAGATTGCGGATGCCTTGCAAGAGTTCAAGTATCACGACATAGAGGTGAACCAGAGCCAGTTCATCTTCACCAAGAGTCCAGAGGAAGCTTGCGATGGTGCACATGCCATCATTGTTCTCACGGAGTGGGACGAGTTCAAATCCTATGATTACGAGGTGTTCTATCAAAAGATGATGAAGCCAGCGTTCCTTTTTGATGGACGCAACATGCTGGATCACAAGGTCCTCGAGGAGATAGGTTTCGAAGTGCATGCTTTGGGCAAGGCGCGTACAGCCAAGAATCATAGCGGCGAACAGGATTTTGTGCTGCGCGCCAGCAGCGCCTACCTCGATGGCAAGCTGGGAGCCTATCCCAGTTCTGCCTGAATGCCATCTCCGCGGCCAGCAGTTACGAACACGCTGTGCCTCCCTGTTTCATCTTGTTTCAAAAGCTTCCCCCCAGCATTCATCCGGCCGTGCTCTCCTCGGTACAGATAGCAAAGAGCTATGGAAACCAGGAGATAGGCATGCTAGTTAGGAAGTCTCAGAGTCAGACCTCGGAATATCCGTCGTGGACGTGGTGATCGCTCGCCCACTAGCCGAAAGGGTGCTGTGCCCTTTGTCGATAGCTCATCGATCGATGTCCGTGTATGCAAACCAGGATCTATCTGCGTCTGTGAGGCCCAATATTGGCAGAAGAGCCGGATGGAACTTTGCAAGGCAGGATGATATGTAATGATATGTATGCTGGAGCGAGCACATAGAGCACATAGTGATGTGAAGTTTGCTCACGAGTGTTGCAACGGCGCAGATATCACAAGCGTTATCAGTTTTCACTTCAAAACCTGAACTGCTTGCGTCCAAGACTGCGCGTGAGAAGTACTGTCCCCTTGCATGTTCGGCTTTCTGATCCAGCATCTGGATGTCAGCAGCCAATCACATCTACCATGAAAAGGTCCGGTGCTGGTTTGGTACAACTCATCCAACCAATTTCTGGTTCAGCTCCTCGGTGATGAGCACGTCAGACAGCAAGTCAGCAAGTGTCGGCAGATTCGGAATCTCGACAGCAGCAAGCCTTCCAAGGCCTCGGATTATCCCAACGATGACCACGAACGTTTTCTACTTCAAGTTCACACCAGATGCTTCGTTGCAGCTTTGCCCGTACTTGTCGCTGCGTGTTGACTATCAGCATGCCGAATCCGCACTCAACCTAAGCACGCGCTGGACCTGGCCTTGAATGGTTTAGTGCAGCAAATGCATACAGGGGTGGCTTCCAGTCCGAAGATAAACAGATCCGAAAAAGGATGGTGGGCCGGCTCGCGAGGAATCGCATCCAGAACATCACGTAAGACGTCCCGATGGCCGGCCCACTTATGCTGTCCTGGTTCATTTAAGCAAAGCGGAAGCATACTTCAATTCAATTTTCTATCTTCTCGTTTGTGTTGTTTGAAAGCCACAGCTTACTTCTCCTACTTTTCGTGAAGACAGACGGCGAATTCGGTTCTTTGCGGTCAACCACCATCAACCACCCCAAGGAAGTCTCTGGCAATTTCTGGGCAGTTGTGGCAGACAACGCCGACGAGGGTGGCCCAGCTGAAATGCTCGTCCGGCACAGAATTTGTGCAGCATGTGGCACGTGTCATTCCGATTTGATGCAAGGTACTTTAAATTTTGGACTTGACACCTGTCTTCTGCGAGTCGCGTGTGCGGTGCTGTTCACACTGTGATCTGAGGCTTCGTGACGGTTTGGAGCATCAAAAGTATGCAGCTTGATTGGCACATTTCCAGGGAATGCACCCGGCGGTGCCCACACAGATCCATACAGTTTGGTGATTGAAGCTTGCTGCGGCGTGGGAGTCCGTCTGCTTCGAGCTGACAGGCAATACGGACAGCCAGCAGCAGACTGCCGTCGGGACGGAAAGTTCGTGACTGGAGGCCTCGAAAACACCGAGGACTGCTTTCGCGGGTCTGATTCGTCGTCATGCATCCCGAGCTTTGTGAGACATCTCACGTTCGTCATGCTTGCTGCTGCCGGGCTTGGTGCTCGGAATGCTCGTATTCGGAGAAGCTGTGGTACGACATGCAAGGAGTTCCTCTTCTGCTACTTTGAAAGAGGCCCCACAACGTACAAGGTCTTTATTTATCTGGAGGACAGGGAACTGCCGAATCATCTGAACCGACAATTGATGCCAAAGACGCCGCGCTCTTGGAAGGACACCAATGGTCAGGAAGACGGGATTATGGAAACCATTGGAATCATTGTCCCAGGCAGCGCTTGTCCCATGGAAGTGTTTGTTTTGTACCGGTTCATGAACTTTGCACACCGAAGGTTCCGCGGAGGTCAGCAACGAGTATCTGGTCCGGCCATATCTTGTGGAGCCTGCCACGATTCGTGGTGCAAAGGTTTATTTCCAGGTCAGGAGGACATCTCGTAGGGGAACGCTCTCATCCTTCGCTTGCTCGAGCATTCCGAGGTTTTATAAGTCCCGCAAGAGCCGTCCCTAACGCTGCGTGCAGGACTGGATATGCGTGGGCAGGTCTTATCGACGAGTCTTCTTGGCTCACGCGGAGAGCCGTCGTTACCTTAGGCTTTAACAAGGAGGTCAGCTCAAGCTTGTGAGTCTCAACTGCAGGTCAACAATTCCAATGGCAACCATGCGGACAGGCAGAGTATCGAGATCTACGAGCCTTGCTGCAAATTGTAAACTTTTTCTTCGCAGCAGGTGGGAAAGGTAGGCAGTGGGTTGGTCTTTCATGGAACACCGATGGTTGTCACTGAACTTGGATCTGTGAATCTTCCTAGTGGATAAATGTGTGGCGCCCCAACTGCTTCACGCCAATGCCAACAATTTAAGTTTGGAGCCAGACGAACGCAGCCTTTCCTCGAACTTCAGGACATCATGTTCTTTGTTGATATGCACCTTGGCTGGCTTAGTGATGCAATACACGAACTTCTACAATTCACACGATGCACGCAAGTGGCATCATTTGACGAAGCTGTGGCTCTGTGTTGTTCCCCTAGAACTTCTGAAACTCTCACTCCAGTGTGCAGCTTCGTATGTTGATGCATGTTGCTGCTGCTGTTCTCTGAGAGTCAGCTACAAGTACCGCCAAGTCGCAAGTAAACTTTCGAGTTCATCTGGCCTGCAGGGTGGGGTCGGACCAGTTCTGCTACTACAGCGCTGTTCCCATCACAGCCAATACAGGCCGCCTTTCGCATCTTTAGCCACGCAGGATGGAGAAACAGACTCTAGCACAATGAAGGCCAAACCTGCCAAGGGGCACCGTGACATCAGGATGCATGTCAAAGTAGTTCTTCGATCATTTTCGATCTTGGTATCTTTGGTCATTCCAGGCTACACCTGGGAGTTTCTGAACTGCGGACTGACGCCGGGCGCGGCCCGTCTGCAACTCGAGGCGTCTTCAGCAGTTGAGGCCCGTACTGAGAGACGAAGCAAGGATGCAAGCTCAGCCCACCTCGTGAGCATTCACGAACCAAGTGAACGCTGTCCTGCCATCATCTGCCATCTTGCCAGGTCAAGGCACTCAAGGTATGCACGCAGACTGAAAATTGACAGTCGAATCTCAGAAGTCGTGCGGTTGCTGAAGGTTTGAGAGTAGCCACTACTTAAGTTCTCGACCTGTCGACGTTTATAACAAGTTTATTCCCAAGTGCTCACACTAGGGAAGTTGCGTCACACAGAAACTGCATAGATGGATGAGACGAGGGTGATACGCCGAAACGGAGAGCAGAGGGGTGTGTTGCCACAAGGTTCGCTATCGCCTCTTTGTCTATGTCATTGGTGAGGAGCTTCGGCATGGTGTGTGTGTGTGTGTGTGTGTGTGTGTGTGCGTGTGCAGACAGCAGTTAATGAGCCAGAAGCCGACCTCCTCTGACAGGAATACTGGGATGTTGCCGTGGATCCGGATGCAGTGTCCTAACCGCACGATCGCCTCCCTTGTCCTGCCTTGTCAAGCAGCCAATTTTCACACGGTTCGAAAGTGGTGATGCAGAGACGAACAGTCTAAGGTGTTCCGGTCCCCATTCTGGAACCAGTGGCACCGAGACAATGGCCGCGTGTCGAACGGCGTCTTGGCATGGTAATATTGTGCTTCAATTCCAGTATGTTCTACTATGCGCAGCTGTCGTGATTCTGACCCGGCCGGATGTCAAGTCTCGGTGTCAGGTCAGTTTCAGAGACTCTGAACAGATATCTACCAGTACGGAACGCTGTCTTCAATTGAAAATTAATTTAGCCGCGAGAACCGCCTCGGAGCCGCTCCCGAGCTCTGCTGTCCTTCGTCTCGAACTCATGCGTCAGCCGTCAGCTATCGGTCGGGCCTGCACGACACTGTGGAGACACTGCACTACCGCGCTGGCGGCCCTCTGACTCCACGCAGAAGTGAAGCCCAAGTTGAATCGAATTCTCGAGCTTTTGCTGTAATCTTCGGCGATGGGTGTGTGAAATCTTGGTATACCTGGGGTCACTCTGGCGGGCCATGGTGGCGACAGCAATTTCGTACAGTACGAGGCCGGCTCAGGCATGTGTACAGGATTCAAGGATATTCAAGCCATGGACTGTGTTTTTGCAGCCCTTCTTGGTGGTGGCACAGCAGTGACTTGGGCGGTGATGAAATGGGCGGTGACAGGGACAGCTGACGAATGTGAAGGCATCATCCACAAATCCGGTGCTTTGACATTGCCGCGCAAGACCAGCTCAAGAATGTGCAGCAGATCCAGGTCTGCCGCGGAAGCTTTTGCGGCCATTCGTGCTGATGGGCGGGCGGGATAACCGTAGGGGGCACCGAGAGGCCAGGGGGATACAGCCAAAAGGGCCCGAGAAAGAAAAAAGGGATGGGAGGGGAAAAGGCCGGAAGGAGGCGAGAAGGGAGGGGTGTGGGCGCGGAGGGGCCGAAAATTCACCAAGACGACCGGGCCCCAACTCAACCCACGGTAAAACTGTGAAAACCAAAAAGGTGATCGACGCAAAGTTCCCTGGGAGGCCTTTGTGGGCCAATCTAAATGCCCCGGCCTCCGGCCTCGGCGGATTAGTATTGGGCTTCTGGAGTGAGCTTCGTACTCGGACACTCGTGCTTCAAATAGTTCCATACTCCCGCACAGCTCCATGTTCCAAGCTTTGATTTGCATGAGAGAGCTTCTCGCATCTCGAGGTGTGCTCGTTCTGCCGCCGTTTTCAAACTCGTGGGCATGGCCGGATGGTGACTTGCAGCGTGATAGTAATCTTTCACGAACAGGATGTTGAGCTGCCAAATCCTGTTGAAGAAAGCCCAGTTTGTAAAGGCTGCTTTGTGGTTCACATGTATTTGGAGTGAAGAGAGACGTGGGAATGAGCCCAAACTTCTACATTGCATGCACAGGTGAGCCATACATCTCCAAAGGTCCCCACGGAATGGGCTTAGACGATTCTTGGCAGACAAAGGAGCTTGCATAGCGGTCCGCACCTAGCTTGAACCGCCGAGCCGGGCCAAGTGCTGTCCACCGGGCCCTAGGGCACCACAAGGTTGTGGCGTGTCATGTTGGAATGGTTCCGATGTACTCGGTGTGTGCGCGGGGGCTGAGGTCACCTTTAGCACGGCACGTCCGCAAGCCTTGGTGTGGGCAATCGTCCAAGACGCGACTAGCACCTTCATGCGTTTATCACATGCAGCTCGATGCCAGCATCATTGCAAAGGTTCTGTTCGAAGTTCGCTCCTAGAAAGGTACAAACTTCACCATCAATGCGGTCAAGACAGCGCAGCTGGTGGCTTGGTCGAAAGGATGCCACACGAGTAGACTCAGGCGTTGGCAAACTATTCACAGGATTGGGCCAGAAGCACATCTCGAGAAGCTTGTAGGCACATTTTGGTTTAAAGGAGCTCCAGTTAACTCTAGCCCTACTCTGTTCAATGGCAACTTCCTAGTTCTTGTCGATGTTGTGAGGCATGGGGTCCTGGAAGTTGTCGACAGATGGGCGTCCCCGCACTCGACGCCGCGCCCTGGCGAAGTCTCATGTCGTGAGAATCTGCCTGCACGCCGAAGCCCGAAATGCCAGCAGGCATTAAACAGACGGTTGGATGCAGGCACAGTACACTTTGACGCTCTTCGGGTGCAGCCTGCTGCCGGCTCCAAAGCAGCTGCCTGTCCAGAGAATGGCCATGCCATGCAATCAAAGCCTCCTGAGATCACTGGAGACAAGGAACTGCAGGGCTAATCCTCAGTTTTCGAAGCTTCTTCCCACTCCCGTGAACTCTTCACTTCTCACGCCCCTCACGGGCCCCTCACGCCTGCTCGTGTGACAGTCTTGTTCAGCAACCGCAGAGACGCATCTCAGATCATCTCAATCTCAGGTATGTTCTCATTCTATACACTGAAGATCAAGCAGTGCAGAATGACGGCGCATTGTCTGACCCGATATACTTCGAGGCCAGCAGTTTCGAGATGAGAGATGCGTGACCATCGCAAGTGCCATGCGAATATTTCCAGCTTGCTGGTGGTGTGACCTAGAGGTGCCGGTGTCGAACGACTTCGTGATTCCGCCGGCCCTGGTCACTCGGATGTGGAGGGACTCCATGGCAGTGCCACAGTCCCACTGCAGCGCCAAAGCAGTGCTTCCGAGGTTGGGGAAGCGGGCCTGGACACCGGCATAAGCCTGAGCTTCGAGGCGCAGTCCCCGGCTTGCCGAAGTGTGTCCTTCACTGCTCACGTGTGTCAGGCGTCCTCTCCGGGAAGAGTCTGGCTATATCTTGCAACCGCGGCACAAGCTGCTGCAGTGTCTGCATCTTGTAAAGCAGCCAGATCTTCTGAGAAGTCGCTCCTGCATGCTCCCGCGCTCGATGTCGCCACACTACAGAAAATCTTGGGGGCAGGGGACACGGGATCTAGGTGACGATCCCGAACGTCAAAGATGCACTGAATGCCTTCGATGCCACGAACTGCATGGTTGCCGGCCTTGAAATCCCAGCATCGCTACAGGCATTGCTCAGGGGGCACCCCTGCTTGCTGAGGGCTCGGAACAGTGATGCATTACACGCTAATGTACGTAGGCAACGCAAGACTGCAGCTCAGCCGTAGAGGGTGCAGGTCAAGTCTGCTTCCGAAGCTATATTCCTGGAGCCTCGCGAAGGTGTCGCCACCGGAAAAATTTCTGAGTTTACAATAGAAAGACTCGAGGCCCCATGTCGGAACTCTGAAGTTCGACCGCTCTTCATCACCAAAAGAGTGCCTTGTACAGGGCTTGGCACAACTATCTGGTAGCTTTCCTCAAAGAGTGTCCTCGTGCTGCAGAAATCTGCAGAGCAGCAAGGCGTAGGCTTACGTGCTGTGCAGGTGATCACCTTGCCGAATTGCCCGCTGGTCTATTTGTCTTCTTACGTGGTCTACGTGTATGTTGAGGCACAGCGCCTGCTTGTAGCTATCCACATTAAGCAGAGAGGTTTCAGCTGGAGGCTCCACCTTACCTTGCAACTTGCGGTCTGAAAATCTTGCTCGTGCAGGACACCAACGACCACTTTGATGGGACCCTTGCGACTCCACTGCCAATCAATGTTGGCGCGACTTGGTGCTGTTTCTAGCAGGACAATCGTGCAGGATAGCTAGTAGAAACTGCTTCCATCATGTTATTCTGATCTTTCCTGGCTTTATGCCTCCCGAAAGATGACAGTGCGGATGATTCGGTTTTACTTTCTCGCTCAGGCGTCCAACAGCTTTCAGGTGGAGCCTGCTTTAGTCTCCGTGCCTACGACCGACCAGGCCGATTCCGTGGTAAAAGTGCGGGCTTTCCAGGCTCACTTGTCGACGGCCGTCCTCTAAGCGACTCGAAAATTCGTGAGACCAGGTGGACTTCAGATTCACGCCTACGAAGCTCGGCAATGACTTTCATCCGTGCGCCAACTCCGCGTGTGTTTGCTGAATGCTGGGGCATCGGACACTCTCTTTTCGCAAGTTCAAATGCTTCACATTCCAAAGGCTGCGTGAGGAGTCGAGGTTCTGGCAAAATCTCGCACTCAAGACATTGGACAGAATCAAAATACTTGGCTGTCGATGGACATCGATTGACGTGACCAGGAAGAGTGGCCGCGCCTGGGTGGTCGTGACGCCGGCCTCCTCCCTTGTGGAACCACCCACCAGGCTTTCTTTTTGCAGCCTCGTTCTGTTGCGCGTCGTATGACGTGCAGATGACTGTGTCAATCTAGATATCGCCAAGCATCACGTGAGTGAGTATCGAGCGAAGTGCACAATGGCGGGAATGTGTGTGCTGTGTAGGAGCCAAGGCTGTGAAACAGGTCAGTTGATGGCGCAGACATGCCCCATCTCCCTCCCTCCGCACAGAAAAGCGGGCTTGTTTTTGCCCGGAGAGAAACACTGTCCCCCCTGTCTTCGTCGAAGAAGTAGTTTTGTTACAAGCAGTCTTCGTGCGGGCATGTGTTCCCCTTAGTGCACATCTTTGCGGGCACGTCACTTCGTCATTGTGCTTCCGCGTGTTTTTCCAGCTTGTGCACGCGAGGTCTCACATGAAGGCGAGCATCGGAGCAGTCGGAGCGTTGCTTGATTTCAAGATTGAATCCAGGAGCAACTGCTAAACGCACTACACATGAGAACCCGTTTTGGAAATCTGAGTTAGTCTGAGTTCCACTGATTGGGACATACTGGGACCCGACACTAAGTAGGGCTGCTTGAAACCGATTTGCCAGATGATCCATTAGTCTGGTTGAGGCATGTTGAGGCAAGCTGCCGTTGTTGCTGGCGGTGGTGCTTGTCTCCTGAAACTAAGGCTCTCGTGCAGAGTAGCCGGCTCGCAGATCACACCGGTGGAGCAGACGTATGCATTGACCGGCTGCATGCTGGATCCAGGATTCTTGTGGCAGTTCAGCAAGAGTGTTGGAATAGATTATGGGTTTCAGAGAAGGCGAAGCGCGGTTCAGACCCGGAAGTGCAACCCGCATACGTGGAATGCAGCTGTGAACGGCATCCATGCTGACCAAACTCAGCATCTGCGCAGGACAAATCTATGCCCTGTATGCCTACGCAATTGGCATGCAATTTTGGGGCTTGACCTTGGGCTCAGCTACAGTCCGGAAGGAAGGGGCAAAGTGTGATTACAAGCAAAGTGCCGTTGGTTTTGTCCAGAGTTCTAGGCGATGGCGGGCTGCAGGGTGGGGGTGGCAATGGGTGGCATACGTGCACAGGAGTGTTGGATGCGGAAAGCAGCATGCATTGAGAGGAGTTTGTCCAGGTAGAGGATCAACGAGACCGTGGAGATGGGACGTTATCTCGCATCGTGTTTGTCAAGGCAGGAAACAGAGAGCACCTAGTCAGTCTCTGGAGCATCCATGTCCCAGTCGTCGCATTTGCAGGTGATCAGGTCTAACAACTTTGCCGTGAGCCCGGTGCTGCTGACCACCCCAACACTGGATGGCTTCGACGTGAGATTCCAGGTGCCTTGGACGAGAGACCTGGAATGTAAAACAATGCCAAATGCTAAGCTTTAGCTTCCCTCAAAAGCTCAGGCCATGGTCTCCGGCCGTGCTTGGGCCATGGCTGTGGATGCCATTGGTGGATCAGGCCAGGCACCGTGGGAACCGGAGGCCTTTCGGCAAGTGATCACCGCCAGGCGTCACCTCGCTGTCGATCCGAAGCCTGGAAGGACAACCGGCAAGCGATTGCACGTGCTGATCGTCTTACTTTCAATGTTTCAGCGAGGATTTCTGGAACCAGGCTGATAGAACACATGTGACATCTGAAACCTGTGTCCTTAAACACTTGATAATTCCTGCAGGTCTTTGCAGCAGCACTCAAGTCTGAGATAATTTGAAATGTAGACTTCGGCTCCATGAATCCTTTTAAAAGCCTGCCGCGATCCGCCAACAACCACTTTACAGTCTTATAGGAATTTGCGTGCCCAGTGGATAGCTATCCGGCTTTTTGCGTGGCTGTGGTCTGAGATCGCTGTGCAATCGGGGCATCAAACCCTGGTATCTTCAGCCATGGCCGTCAATGCGTCCCTCAAAGCCCATAATGCGAGGCGACAGCAGGCAGGCAGAGTGGAGCCATTGAGCACCAACTTTCGAACAGTTTTGACACATGATGCATCGGTGGCGCCATGTCTGGATGACCTCCAGGTATAGGGGTTTTGACGAAGGTCAAGTCTGATACCGTCCGCGGCATCGAACACTGCTGTGACGCAGTGCCCATCCAGCTAAATCAGCTGATGGCAAAAAACTCTGCACTCGTACTGCGTCGTGGATGCCAGAAACTTTCGCACAAAGGCTGGCCACCTTGTGTTTCGGTGAAGCCCTGCATCATCCAGGGAGCCTGGGGGAAGGAGAGTGTGTTGAAACCAAAAGAAAAAAGAGATTGTGTGCCATCATTAGCTGTAGGACGCCGGCTGAAATTCAGATCGCTTCGCATCGCTGCCCCATGGCAGGAGCCTTGGGAGGATCAGGCTGCCAATTTCAAGACTTCGCCATCGATGCCGACCTCCAGGTAGGTAGCGGCAACAAGTTCCATTGCGCCACAAATTTATACTGATCATACTCCTTGCTTGCCTCCATTGGCAGGTTTGGAACTTCACGGACTGCAGGTTTCAGGAGAGTAAGACGTATATGCTTCTTGGCATCGATTGGATTGATTGGAAAGTGGCATCAGGTGGTTTGCATCCAGCATGAACACCTTTCGCAACAACGACTGGGCAAGGAACCAGGCATAAACACGCAAGATTCCTGGTCTGAGTGCACAGGAGGAGGTGGCTTGAAAGAACTAGAGAAGCCAGGTGGGAGGAAATGAAGGCGGTAGACACTCGCGAGTTCTTGTGTGTCTCCCTTTGGCGTCTCTGGGCCCTTGTTCCCAGCACCAACCATGACTCTTCCACGAGGAATTTCTCAGCCGGCCTTGGTCATCTAGATTCCTTGTCACCCTGCGACCCTGCGACGAGCTAGATGAGCACTTCGCGCAAACCTGAGAATGTCGAACGAAGGAATGTATTATCGTTCTCACGCAACTTATTGTGCATGAGTGTGTTGCACACGATGCTCTGCTACTTGCCGCCTACAGTCCAAGTGTTGCACAGTACCTAACCCGACGCGGCTTACGTGCTGCTAAGGATCTTTATTTATATTGAAGCCTGGCCAGCAGTGGAAGGTGACGGCACCCTTTCAGGCCATTGAAAATCGTGTATGTCGCATGCAAGAAGCATGTGCCACACTAACGCCGAACTTTTCTAGCCGAAGGTCCCATGATTGCCTCCTTCTTCGATGCTTCGAATGTCTCTGCAGATGATACCGACTCCGAGACTGGCGGAGAGGCTGCACCAATGGTTGGTCATCCTTCCAGAAAGCGTAATGGATTCATCCCTGAGAATGTGCTGCTCCTTCCAGGTCCTGACTGTCGAGGAGGTTCCGATCGTCTCGAATTGGCTGCTTGGAGCATATTGAAGTGCGCACCTCGTAGCTGTGGCACAAGCTTGCATGTAGACTTGTGGTCATGGCACGGGACATCCTAAGAATTTCTTTGCACAGGTTCCGAGAAGATCCACGCCAGGCAGTGGTATGAGACAGTGTCACTCCCAATGTGAAGAGCAATGGGTCATTCAGACATGCTGTGCAATCGACGCAGTGTCACTAAATTTCAGGTGTTGCTCAGAACTGCCATATCTGAGTCAGTGATTGGTCCACGCTTCGCATGGAATAGCAACAACCGCGCATTTTTGCAGACGGGTCCAGCATCTCCGGGTGGCGTTACACTGACTCTTCGTGCCGCGCACGCCAGTGGCCGGCTTTGGGTGACACGTGGCTGCCTTTAAACGGGGTCAACCCGGTTAGTATTTGTTGTTAGTATGTGAGTAATTGTTGTCTACTATAGAAGGCTTTCACAGGTGCAGACATTGCATACACGTGACGATTTTGAGCACGTTTGGGCCGCATCAGCCTGCTTATCCAAGGATGATCACTCGATACCGGCCCCAGGCGCAAATCTAGCGGCAATGGTTGGCAGAAAAGGGACGTACGGGCTGCTGGCACGATGGGACGACATGGAAAAATACGGGTCGGAGGATTCAATCAACATTCTCGGATGTCGCAAACGGCCGGGGTCTTCAGTGATATCGGTGTGCAAACAGGTGGCCGCAGAGTCCGTCACAAATGGATGGAACGTTGCTGGGACTGCATTGTCATCAGATGTCATCAGGCTCTGGCTCATAGTAGCATGAGTCACAGTCTTGAAGAGCAAGCACGTTCATTAGATGATGCTTCAAGCTCAGGCCATCGGTGGTCCTGGCTGCCAGAGAATGGATGCGGCCATCGATGAGCAGGATTGCTCGCATCGTGCTGTATAGGATCAATGCTGTACTGACTCTACGATCTATGATCTGAACTGTGTGTGAAGTCTTTCACTTTGTCACGAATACTTTTCTCCATCTGAAGGCTTGCATGAGCCCCAAATCAGCTCTCTAACTCTTCTGCATGTAACTTTGGATGATGGATGCTGTGAACTTGTTCTCTGCGGGCCGCGTTGCGATATTCGGTTCTTCCCGGGTGTTGGCTTTGCGAGCAGCAGGCTTCCCTCTCCAGGTTTCTGGCTGCAAACAAGGTGACACAGCACAAGTGAGTGTCACATGTTTAGGCTCAACAAGAAAATTAAACGGTTTTCGCTGCAAAAGGACCTACTTGGTTACTGGGGCCTGGCTTGTCATTTAGACAAGAGGGCGTCGTGCAACTAGGGTCGTGTCTTTTGTTTGCTGTGACTTAAAACTGGACCAGAACCACGAGTTGCAAAGCTCAGAAGCCTGAAGCGTCCTCCGGTGACCGGTCCGCCTGTACTGTGTCCTGAGGGCCGAAAGCATCTGTTTAGATGGAAGTTCAATTCCTTCCCGGGCGTTCGTGGCGCTTTTCTGAAGTACGAGTAGTAGTGTAGTATTACGGAGGGTTGTCGAAGTGGCCTGCGCTGGCTGCAGCTCAGACTGTAACATTCTGAGTTGAAGCCCACCGTTGTGTATGCAGCTGGCTTTTGCTCATCCGAACGACGTCACGCAACCACTGCCGCATTTGGTCACTTCCAGGTTAGGTACTGCAGCCCCTTGTCGGGTGGCTTACTTGGACGTACAATTTGGATGAAAGTGCCTGCCAGGGTAAATTTTCGACTAACTCAGTTCGTTGTTTCATGTACAGGGATTCTTTGTGATGACAAGCCATGGTTTCTGGTGCACAGACCGCTGTCAGCAAAGCTAGCTAGCAAGCATTGTCACATGAGTCACGTGAGCTTGGGTTGCCAGATTGGCAACCAGCACCACAACAATGTGCAGCTTGCTTTGTGATCGTGCATTTTTTTTCCGGCCAGCTGTTTGCGCCACGCACTCCTCATTCATTCGTTTTGTATCACCGACGGCAAATGTAACGGGACCAGAACGCTACAATTTGAGGCTGGTCGCAGACCCTTCGCATCGACTGGGGTCCAGTAGCCCGTGGGAGAAAAAACTAGCGTTTCGCAATCCTGAAAAGCTTAGATCTTGCCACCTGCAACCCTCTTGTTGCAACGACCAGGAGGCGACAGTGCAGCTTTCAGAGTGTGGTCTCTTGCGAGGCAGGGCACTCTCCTTGAAAAGTATCAAAGTAATAGTCCTAGTCACAATGCACCTCTCACGTCTGCAGGTAGGTACTACTATGCCTTTGCCTACGTTGCTGGACCAGAGGGAGGATTGAATGGGATTCTCGGCAGAACAATGTACACGGCGACGATACTTCCATGAAACATGCTGCCATATGCTGCCGTCGAACCTAGGACTCTGAGCCCTCCGGTCGAGATCTTCGTCCCTACGGTCGCTTGCAGTCAGGTTTGGAGCATTTGCAAGAAGTGATCCTATGCCTATACCAGTCCACAAGACACACCTGAGTCGTTTTATGCCGTTGTGAAAGCTAGTTTGTCAGTCTCCCGCTGTTTTTTTCTTCAGGGATCTGTAGGTATTGGTTTTCGACTTGTGCCGCCGAGGTTTCCAACGACTTCTCTCAGCCTCCCCATCTTGTCGCCACAGCCCGGCAGGCATTTATTGCAAAGCAATCTCGCCAAGACACGCATTTTGGTTCGTCGACGACATTGCAAGAGCCGCGGTGGTGTTCTTAATATGTCACAGCGCTTCGTGCAGGACCACGTGCAGTTTACTTTCGCTGCTGTTCAACAATTCGGCGTTGCCTGGGCCACTCTCCTGCCATTCAGGCGCTTAGTTTCCTTCGCAGCATTAGCCGAGCCAGGCATTCACAGCACAATTGATGCAAGGGACAGGCATATTCCCCACGCTTCATTACCGTGACAACTTCAAGACTTTGGCCGAGATACTGCGCGCCAAAATCCAAGGTCATGATCATAGATGCGTGGCTTGCCTACTCATTGACGCTAGCCTGCATCGGCAAACCGAAAGCTAGCATGTACGGTCATCCCTGTGTTGCCACATCGCTCCGTAAGGACCATTGAGAGTGTGAAGAGCTTCGCCAACGCAGCTGGAGGTTCCAATTGCCGGAGAGAGGCGCGAAGCGTTGGGCGTTGCTGTGCCACACGTGAAACCGAGACATAGCAGTTCAGCAAGCGCTGCTGAAGGCCCTGAGCATTGGCACCGCTGTGAAGGCAACTTTCCACTTGGTACTCGTATCACTTGGTGTCACCTTTTCCGGCTTCCGGTCTGCAGGAGATCCTGCTGGCATCCTCATTTCCGTCTTTTGGCCTCAGCAGACTGTAAATCGCAACAAGAGTCTCCAAACAGCGGTTCAGGAATGCCGGTGATGGCTGCGACTTGACCACCAATGGAATGCACCTTGGATTATCCTTGTGAGCTGGTGCTTCTCTGAGCCGACTTGTGTACGTCATGCCGTCACAACGAAGTCATCAAGTCAGGGTTAAACATGGGTTCCAAAAGCAGAAAACCAATCTCAGCCCGATCCAAGTCGTGGATCGCAAATTCCGCGCCTCGGAAGGTATGTGTTGGCCGTGTATGTGGAGGACATCAACGGCCACGGACTCGGATCACTGCCTTGTCGCAATCTCTCAAGGATTTCACGATTCTGTCTTGGTTGTCTGTCTGGGGCGACTGCACTGCTTGGTGTGTAGTACGGCATGGATGACATAGATTCGCCGTTCACCTCTTCGTTGGCCACAACCGGATGCGCGAGCTTCAAGCGTATTGCAACTTATTGTATGCACGTGAAGGTCTCAACGACGGTACCTTGGCTCAGCTGCCTGTCCACATCAGTCCCCGGCCGACAGTCTCAAATCGCATCGCGGCCGGACCGGACGCTCAGATGCGATCAATTGAGCTTGAAGGATCTTGAAGGCTTTGATTTCCTAGACACGCGCAGGTGGCCTAGAAAGTAATCATGAAGAGAAGCCTGTGGTTCTGTCACGTGTTCTGTCTCCCTTGGCCATGAGCATCAAGGGACACGTTAGTCCAATTGCTTGCGGTCGGCCTGTTTGTTTCGTTCGCTGGAACACACACTGAATGCTTAGAGAGGTTTCTGTATGCGAAGGACCACCTGATGCCCAGGTCTTGGGCGACCATGCACCAGCAACTTTGAACACGTATCTTCATGTGCAGTAAGGTCGAAGCTGAACGGCTCAAAGTGTGCCACCTAGACCTGCGACCTGACTAAACCCCAACACGGCCTGAACCTGCTGCAGACACTGAGGAGCAAGGACAAGACCAGAACTGTGAACTGCAGATGCAAGCTCAAGCGCTGACTCACAAGCACTGTTGCGCAGCCACAAGTGTTCGGATGGGGTTCTTGGCTTAGCCCCAGGCCATCCACGCCGAAAGAATGTAGTATGTATCCAGTACGACGATGAACCATATACAGCGAAGACCAGGATGTCACAAGCGTTGCAGGTACAGGGGACTGGCCAAGTCCCCCTTCCCATCCACAACCGTAGCTTCGTTGCACACGGTGGGTTGTGGATGCCGTGTGCCCCTGCTGTGTACTCTGCACTCAAGTTCAGTTATATGTAAATCGTAAGTAGGAAATGGCTGCAGAGCGTGAGGAGAAGGCCCTTGGATACAGGGTTGTCACACACACACCCCGCCGTAGCGGGGTGAATTAATCAGACGAAGACGGTGGGCATGTAGAGCAGGTAGAGCCGTCGGGTGAACTTGCAGGATCTGGCAGCGGTGCAAGGAAAGTCGGTGGAGAACGTCTCGGAGAGGAGTTGGCAATTCGTGCCTTTGAAAGTGACGTCGATCAACATGACGAGCGTAGACTCTAGGTGCCAGTAGACCAAGGCAAAGTTGCCAACGATGACGAAGTATCAGTTGGCTCATTATGTAATGTAGTCGACGATCAGCGAGAAGTAATGCGTGAAGTACGCTTGGAGATGGTGCGGTTGTGAACGTGCTGTACTGGTAACCGCAGATGTTCGGGTCATAGTAATCCAGTCGTTGGAAGGAAGGATTGAGTTGACAAAGTCCATGGAGGGTGTCGAGGTAGTAGCGGTTCTGAGAGGTCGTGAATCGGTGCTGTGATATGACAAAGCGTGGATCAAGGAGGGTGCTGGGGATCTGGAGATCGGGGGAGGTCATCGGACGAACTTGCCATACTCGGAGCTCCACCAAGTAGTCAAGCCACCATTCCAAAGGAATATCGAGTAGGTGCGGGGCCATGAGTGTACGGGCGACGAAAGGAAGGAAAGGAGAGGCCGAGGACTAACCAAATATTGCTGAAAAGGCTGCGGTAGATCAAATGGACCACGGTCAAGATGCACAAGTGAGGGTCTTTATCTCAAAAATTTCCGTCAGTGTCCTCCAAAGCTTCACCGTCTCAGAGCGGGGAGAAGACCATGTCGTTGTTGTTCCTGTTGCCAATAAGGATTGTCCGTTGTGATGGGTGGAGGAGGTGAGTGGCGGCGAGAAATCGTAGGTGTCCATTTGGAAAAGGAAAGGCAATGCGCTGAACACCAGCATGTGGTAATCCAGGGTCCGGACGAAGTAGGTCGCCACTGTGCCAGGGTAGGATCTCGAATACGAACACGTAGGCAAAGTCGTGATGCAGAACGTAGCTGGACGTGGGCTCGCCAACACAGTCGATTGCAGTATACGATGACCGAGGGCTGATAATGATAGATCGTGAACACCGTGTTGTCGTGGTGGAAGCCAAAGAAGTTGTGGGCGCTCATCTTGTGATCTTGAAGGGCGGCGAGGAACTGTTGCCAAACGCCATATTGATGCCAGGAACAATCACCGTGATGTGCGGTCAAAATGGAGAAGGCGGAGCGGGTGGTGTGGCGGTCATCAGTGTGTGGACGTTGGCAATGACGGGGATCCAATTGTATCATAGTCTGCATCTCGAAATAGGAGAGGATCATGGGGAGGATGTCAGTGAAGGAAGCCATTCGTGGGTGAGGAAGGGGAAAACAACTGTGCTTGTACAGAAAAGCTGCGGTAAAAAGGGGCTGCGGGTGTGGGACTGACGAAACGGAGATGTCAGGGCATGTTTTCCAGAGCGGGATCTCGTTGGAATCAGGTACTCAGAAGTTCGCGGACGGACCGTCGTCTGCGAGCGGTGCAATCCCGGTAGATGAGTGCCAAAGGAATGAGTTGGTCTTCGGGTAGGTCATAGCGGCGTCGTATCCGTAAATTGTCCGAAGCTGCAGTGGGTCCTCCTCGTTCATGTGCTATGATGTCCAACATAATGCGGGCGCGATGTCTAATGCAGTTCTGCACGTCCTGATAGTACGGGGAGGCAGGAGTGCATTGGCGCCATTGTCGGAGCCACTGTTGTCGGCGACGTTCTGCGGCATCTCCATGGAATGAAACGGTGGAATGTGTAGTGCCCGACTTGCTGCGGCGTACTTGATGTAATGTATAACCATTTCCTCGGGGAGGAATTCGGACACGAGGGGGAGCGTCCAATGTTGCTGAGGGAGGATTCGTAGTGGCTGGTGTAGCTCCTGTCGCTGGAGTGGTAGTGCTGGTCCCCGAAGGTGTCTTCCGTGGACGTTTCTTCGAACGGGACGAGGAGGTAGGTGGGTCCACTGTTTGTAGTTCCGTAGTGGGGCACAAAGAAGAGGATGAAGACGATGAAGATGTCGAAGATGATGTTGACGTGGCCTTGGAAGGTCGAGATGATGTGGAAGAAGAGGAGGTAGTATGGTGGCGATGTCGTCGACGGCGTTTGCTGGGTCGTGTTCTTGGGAGAGGAGAGGGAGAAAGAGGAAGGGTGCGATGAGGCGTGGGGTCCCCATCAACATCTGAACCTGCGGGAAGTAGACCAGCATCATGTGCGGAGGAGGCGTCCAGGTCTGAGTCCATGTCCGGGTCTGGTGTCCAGGTGACGTCGTCCAAGAGATAGGAATCGGGGGATGAACCGGCCATGACTAGGGGCTCTGGTGGTAACTTGACCTAAAATGCCTGCGAATAAATCAACGAAAGGAAGGGGCGCCAGTTCAATAAACGCATGGGAGCAAGTTTTCCGGGGGTTCACTGACCTGTCGCCAACGTAGTCCAACACGACGACGTACGGACCGGGATGCGTCTTCCAGTGAGCGTTCAGAGAAACCTCGTTCACGATATAGATGAACAAGTTCACGAACTTGAGGTGCAATGACGGCTTTGGGCCAGGATAATCGGCAAATGAGATAAATCCGCGTGGTAAGTCCCTGAGTGTTCCTGCGTGTCGAAGAGACTGAACACGGAGAGCGCAAAGAGATACTGTTCCGTGGGAGGACAAGTCGGATGGAACGTTGTGCGGTGTCCACGACGGTGCCCAACAGTTCTTGTCCCGGAACATGTTCCAATTCCAAGGGAAGGCCATAGAAATGTGGATGTAGGTATACCTCTTGGAACCAACCATACGATGACGTAGAGGATGAAGAGAGAGGATCGTGGCCTCGGTGGGAGTGGTGTCGTTGGCAGTCGTCCAGGGATTCCAGTTCCCCATCCCAAATCCGAAGGAGGCAACGATTGTCCACATAGCGTGAAGAACAGAAATAACGAGAGGTCAGCATCTGATCGCGAATGAGTTGGTGGAATGTGGCTTCCCACAGGGCTGCGGTCGCTCCGCACATTGAGGGGGCCATGGGTGAGCCCATAGAGGCCCCGCGATGTTGTACCAAAATCTCCGTGCCAACTGTGAAAAAGGAGTGACGTAGCAAGAACATAACCAATGAAGGTAAGTCACGAAGGCATAGAGGTTTGTAATGTGAACCGGCTTTTCGATATCGGCCTCGAAATAGGCGACCAAGTGAATTGCGGTCCCGCATCGTGATCTGTATGTCAGAGTCCAAGGGAATCTGTTGGTGGCGAGCGAACATGTCTGTCAACGACGAGATCGAGTGGTAAATGCGATCATGTGGAACCGAAGGGAAGAAACCAGAAAGATCTTGTTGAAGTAGCTGAAGTTCCACCGTGACCGGGTTGTTGCGGAAGGCATGGATGAACGTCTGGATGATGGAGTGGACGGTAGGAGAAACGAACTGAGGTGGAACAACCGTCTGTAGCATCTGTAGGACGGCGGTGGAAAGAAATTTCGCGAGTGTGGCACACCACGTGTTGGAATAGCTGACAATCGGGCGACCCTTCAAGAATTGTTTGGAGGGCTTGGGGAGCACGTAGGCGTACGGCAAAGATTCTTTGGGTGCCAGGGCCCAGTGATAGCGTGTAGGAACATGTCGTTTGATGGCTCGTTGTATATGTTCCGATAGCTGCATCGGGTTGGTGTCTCGTCGCCAGAAAACTGCAGGATCCAGAAAGGTCTTGGTCAAGATGTCGAAGTATTGTTGAGGACAAAATGCATAAGCCAAATGCGGTCCATGATCAATGGGGGAGATCACGATGTGCTCTGAGCTTTCCCGTAAGTTCTTGAGTTCGCGTAACTGTCTGCCGTCAAGTCGCATCCGTAGAGTTTGGCTGTGTAGTTGCCATTGGTGTGAGACAAAGACTTGCCAGCGAAGTAAGGATTGGTCAGGTTGTCGCCACAGCTTGAACCATCGGTTCAAAGGGGCCACTGTAAACCTGTGAAATTGAGATTTGGTCAACCATCGGCCGTCGCTCATGTTCTCCCGATAGATGGATTCGTTCAGAACGACATCGGCCGGGGCTGCTACATGATCCGAGGGTGTGCGTTGTCCTGGCAGTTGTTGACAACAGCATTGAACAAGGTTTGACCAAGCGTAGGGGCCTTTTTCTCGGTAATGGTGTATCGTGGTAGGTGGTAAGGCGGGAACCAGTCTCGGTGATGAAGTATATAGCTGTCCAACCAATGTTGAGCTTGTCGTAAAAAGTCATGAGCCAATTGAGGAAGAGGAAGTAATCGGTGACGAGGCGGGATATCTCCTCCTTTGTAGCGAAGGGCTAGACGTAAAGCTTGTAGGGCACGTGTTTGATGTGGTTCATCCACGAAGACAAGGAAGCGAACGAGTAAGTAAAGGTAGGCGATCGGAGTGCTATTCCGACGTAGAACTCGTTGTGAGAAGAACTTGAGAATGCCATTGCTGCCGACATATTGTATGATTGTGGCCAGGGTCTCCCGTTGCTCGATGAGGGAGCGAGTGCCAAGGAGTTCCGGTAGATCCCGGTAGTGTGTGTACCGATGATGAGCGCGTAAAAGACGAGCTCCGTTGCCACCCTCCAAGAAGGTGGCGACCATGGGTGCTTCCAGTTGTACTCCCAATTTCCGTAGAAACGTGTAAACAAAAGGGGCATTCAAGTGTGGATGATATGTGGCAATCAGAGCTTGTTCCAAGGCGCGGACTTGTTCCTCAGTAGGTCGGTGCTGTAAAGTAATCGGTAGATGATGGTCGTATGTACCGGCAGCGTGCCAGATGCGTAAGGCAGGCTCGAAGAACGCTTGAGTGCCGGAACAAAGTTGATTGTATTTGGATCGGCGGCTAACTTCCCGGTCGGTGATCGTGTGGATGGTGGAGCCGATGTACCATCCGGGGTGTTTGTGGGAGACTTTGATGTAGACAACGCTGGACTGTAAATGATGTCGTAGAGTGTACCGCTGTACGTCCAAGTTGAAGAATAAATCCTGGAGACCGCGATGGTTGGTAGTAGTGGCGAACCGTAGGCGATGAAGTTGTAGGAACCACAGAGCGCGTACCCAGGAAAGACGTCCAAAGACATGATGTGGAAGAACTTGTCGTATGATCGGCAATGCCGCAATGTAAAAGTCCAGGAAAGATGTAAGAAGTCGGTGTGGATGAGGCGGTAGGCGGTGACGTACTGGGGGTCGCGGAGAAAATTGTGGAACCTCGTTCTCGTCGTCGCCCAAATCTTCAGCGAAAAAGTGGTCAAAGCTGAAGATCTCCAGGCAGAAGAGGAGTCGGAGAGCGGACGTTTGTAAGGTGTGAGCAACCTGAACGCGTGTCAGTGCGTATCTGCTGGTCAGCCACTCATGGATGCGAGAGTCAGAAATCGAAGGCAAAGTTTGTCGTAGTGTTGTTGTCAATCCATCAATCTTGAGGTCCGAGTCTTTGGTCCAGCCGGTTGGTGTGGTAAGGGACGTCCTGGTCGATGAAGTTATACCTGTGGAGGAAGATGTCGGAGTCCAAGGTGGATGGGACGTGTCACATGAGGAAGGACAGGTATAATGTACTCGAAGTGGTGACGACCTGCGTGTGGGATCAGGACGGTCAGAGAAAGTGGCATCGAGAGGGGGTGGTGGAATCCGTAAGGTTGAAGATGTAGACGGAGGTTTGGATGTCCTGGTAGTGGAACGTCGCAAAGATGAGGCCGAGGTTGCTCGGAGTGGTAGACCGTCGGATGTCTGTGATCTTCTCGGATGATTAAAACCCATAACTGACCGGGATGTGGAAGAGGTAGAGGATGATGAGGAAGGGAAGAGTTCATGTCGTAGGTGGCAGGCAACGTCATCGTCACGTAAGGCAGGAAATTGTGCTGGTGAAAATGAAGAACCTTCTGTCAATTGTCGCATGACCTCGTTAACGAGTAGTAAGGCGTCGGTGGACTCGAAAGCAAGCGGGTACACCGACTGGCCATTGGCAAAGCGGCGATACAGTGGGTGAAGTGGGCCCTGATGTAGGAAATCAATAAGTCGACTGGTCTGAGCTTGTCTGGTCTGAGCTTGTCTGTCACCTCGTACTCGCGCATGAGGAGTGCTTTCCGCACGTACAGAATGGTGTCGACGTGGAGTGCGAGACCGGCGCCGCTCATGGACCATGGGCATAGGTGGGGGACAGGAAACGTCCCGAATGTAAACGGCTGCGGACGAAAAAGGGAAGGGGGCAAACATGGGCAACCGAGGATGGCAGGGTCGGACGGTTTTCCGACGTCAGGGCGGTATGGAGTGAATCAAGAGAAGTGCTGAAAACGTACGCGACGAACTGGTAGGGCAGCTCGTAGTATCGAGATGGTTGTTTCCACGCCTTCCTCGTCGTCCCAGTAGAAAAGTTTGCACGGAGCGCCTTGCCGTAGAGCAGCTTGCGGGATGCGGGCGAGGTGTAGTTGCAAATGTTCAGTGGCATCGAGACAATCACGTAGAACGTAGCACCATTCCGAACAAACAGCTGCCGTTGTCTGACAAATGAATAAACTCACGTGTTGCAGGGAGACGCGAAAGACTGCTTCATGGTATCCGTGTCGGATCAATCGCGGTGTGCAGCATTGAAGCCGGGCCCTTCGCATGGAGCTGGTAATCAGATCGCACGACCTGGTCACCCACAAAGGCAAGTTGTCATGTGATTCTGGGGAGTCGTCAGCATCGTCGTGTAACTCCAAGATCACATCGATGTACTGTAAGTACGAGGTGATGTGCGCGAGCGAGGCAATGGGGAAGGGAACACTCATGATGATGATCGAAAACGGCTGCGGCATGTATCCAAGAGAGAACAAGGAACACGGCACAAAGGGCGGCAGCAATCTGTTTTGCCGTCAACGTCCCCAAGTCGGTGTGGCACCTTGAGGTAGTTCAATGGCCGGTTGCCAGGTCGTCCGGCGGGCTTCAAGTAGACTGCCACAAGCGGGTGCTTCTCGGAGGATTTCAGCGTCCTTGACGGTGGCAATCGCAGTGGTGCTCCTCATGTAGGAGAGGTGTCGGTCGCCCTGGAGTAACTGAAAGTGCGATGGGTGCAGATAACGACCATGGCGTTGATGAAGGAGCTGCGAGAGTCGTTGTTTCACATGGTCAATGAGCATGTCGCTCCACACATGAAAGTCAAACCACTCCGCATGTCCACCGTCATCGGGTAGGTCACAGCAAAGGAACCATGCCGGAATCAGAACACGCAGACGTATTAGATTAGGTGGAATGGGTAGCCCGGCGACGGCGGCTGATCGTTTCATCGAGCTCGGCGTGAAGAAGGGCGCGGCCGTGTTGTAAAACAATGGGAAAAAACGGCTGCGGGATCCATAAATCAGAGGAAAGGGTTGCGACACGAAAACAATGGGGCATCGGGCATATGATCTTTTCCGCGCGGGCAGTCAAGAAGAGTGTATGAAGGCCAGAATGCGGAACTCGGCGTCATGGATCCATATCATTGGCGGAGGCTGTGGTGAAGAACACGCGGCGGTGGTAATGGAGACATTGTCCCAACAACAGGTAGGAGCGGGCGCGTAGACACCGTAGCTGTGTTTGCAACAACTCCATGGCCTCCCAAGTGTGAATTTCATGAGGGATCATCAATGTCAGAACCGCATCTGAAAACCGGACCACGTCAGCGTAGGTGGTGCCGATAGGTAGGATGCGTGGAGGCAGAAATGGTCCTCGCATACGGGGAGTAGGTTCACCTGGTAGTAGTTGAGCGGGTCGAGGTTGATGAACGTCCCGAGTAATGAAGTGGGTAATGTTGCGCCCGTGCAAGAAATGAATGACTTCATAGTTCATAATGCGGTTGACCCGGAGGAGCTGCGTGGTGAGATACAAGTCGAGTACAATCTCGAACAACCCATGGTAAGAATTATCCGCGATCTGGACAACCTCATAATACATGTTACAGGCCTCCGTCATCACCTCGTGCATAATCTGGTGGATGTGCGGTCGCGGTGAGGTCGAGGAGAACGGAACCAACCAGCCTCGCATCAAGATGAAAGGAGAAAGCCAAAAATTGACCGGGACGTCGGTGAAGGTGGAAATCGTACGGTTTTCTCCAGAGGATAGTGAGACATAGGTGGTCGAGGGGGTCGGTGTAGTGCGATCCCTACGAGATTCTCGAGCAGCTGCCACCCATTCGCGGTATTCAGAGGTAGTAGGAAGGTCCACCAGTGCCTCCGGTGCCAAGTTCGCCATGGTGTGATGAGCAAGTGGATGAAGGGTAAACCAAGTAGCTGAAACGGCTGCGGGTAGAGGACATCGGGTAACAACTCAGAGTGTGTGAAGTGAGTGATGAAAAGGAAGAGCAAGTGAGGACTCTTTGTGTCACACGATCATCCACTCCAGGAGGTGTCCTGAAGGTGTCTGCTCTGCAGGGCGGTGCCAAAGGCATGGAGTCGTAATCGGAATAGACGACTGCGGGGGACCTCCGTGCAATCGAACTCAGTTAAATAGGAGGGAATGCCCAAGCGGTACGTCAATGAGGAGAACCGCACAATGCTGGAGAACTCCGAGCCAAGTGGAAGACGCCGACGAAGAATATCAGGAGGTTCAGAACGATCCGCGGGTAGGAGGGCAACTGTGGTCATGGAGCGAGCGAGGAGGTAGATGGCGAGTGCATCATTAAGATGGCGGTTGGTGGCCGAAAGTGCCGAGATGACGCCGATGTCGAAGGTGAGAACAAATAGGCCATGATAATAGTTGTCCCCAACGCGAAAGAACCCGTAGAAGAGGTTAGTGTGACGGTCAATGAGCTCTGCCAGACGATCACGGATCATAATGTCATCGGGATGTCGTGTGGTCTGCCGAATAGAATTGCCTGGACTGCCATCAATAGGGGGGTGAGTCGCGGCCACGGCGTACGCGAACAAGTTCTGGTGGTAGTCCAAGAGCTGGTGCACAAATCCGCAAGGAAGTGTGGAAAGCTGGAGCGGCATGGTGTTAATGTCAAAAACCCTAAGGAAACGGCTTCGGAAGGTGCGAACATGTGAATCAACGTCCAGG